CAAAAGAACCTGAAGACTCGACATGATGTGCTACTTAAAGTTAAACTACTGCGCACGTGATTAACCTGCGCATGTGTTTCTTGATACAGTAAAGTACTGCACACTTCGTGACGGTGCCTCACACTGTAACTTGCTTAGGCCCACGGCAAAAGCGTGACTGTAGTTTTGTTCTCTCGGGCTGTACAGCTGAAGCCAGGGGTCGAGTATTTTCTGGGGGATCACTTGTGAGTTGCTTCCTTACTTTTAGTTTTAGCTTGTTTTTTCCGTTCACAAAAAAGCCATGTTGCTAGCGTCTGGAGCGGAAGCAATGTTGTAGCTCTAAAACATTTTCTTTGCTGCGTTCACGCTCGATGACCACGTGGTGGACGGCACACTGAAAATCCTATTGGAAGGCACAACGAACAAGCTCATCCTCCTATCGGGATTGGACGCCGAGACCAGTACAAGTACGACAACTGCATTGGCCAAGCCAGCGGCCGCCCAAGTGGGATTATGATTCTGCCATAGTTTATTTTGTTTTTGGATAAACCTGATGAGTCTCGATTAGATAGCATAAATGCTATTGCTATATTTGGCATGAACATGATCCGCGACAAATGATCCATCTTGCAGTATAGCATATCGGTTCCGAAGAAGCATACCCAAGTAGTTGCATCTTCTCACTCACTTTTTCTGCAGTTGTAATATGCCAACATGGATGAACGGGGACTAAGAAGATTATAACAAAATTGCTCAGAATTATAGATACAGACTTGAATACAGCAACATAAAGAATGAGAGAAGAAGATGGATCTGCTTCGTCTTGTCGATAGTTTTTTAGGAGAGCTCGAGGTTGTCTTCTAATGATAGAGGTGGATCCTCGTTATTTACTGCGCCCTGCTGCCTCTGATGTGGAAGGGGCCGAGAAGTGGCCTCCGAATGAGATTGGGGGTGAGCCACTGGCTTTGCCATTTTTTTGGAGCATGTGCGTCGTCAGTCGGCAAGCTACTTTAAGAAAATTTAGTTGACCATGTGCTTTTTTCACGATAATAAATACTTCGCCTCTTTAGAGGAACTTTGTGATGCGGAAGTAGTAAGGAGCTTCTAAGATTCTAAACGTTACGAGATTAGTGCATTGAGCTGCGTTGTATAATTGCATCAAGAACGAGGAGCAAAGTCAACAATAGACCATCTTTTGAAAAGCAACCAAAAAACCAAAGGCCCATTTGAAGGAGAAGCAAGCCCTCTAGCATAAAGAAGCCTGCCTACAACTCTAATGTGACCAGGAATTTCAAAGGCTCAGGCGGAAACCGAAAGGGCCGTGATCGAGTCAATCGGTGAAGGGACGCCATCTGTCGGAAACGTTCTCAAGTTAGGGATCCCTCTTCTTTAGAGCTTGTAATTTGTATGACATTTGTAATTTGTATGACATTAGTTGAACGAGTTATTTAATTGTTTGAAAGGGCGGTGGCATATTATAGTCCTAACTCAAAAAAAAAAACTTCTCGAAGACAAGAGTCTATCAGGGATTCACACTTAGCTTCTTGAAATTAGACTATTCTCTTCTCAATTCTCATACTGAAACAGTATAGAGGATCGTCACGGAGTCCATCTCGCTTCTTCTTTTGCTTCCTTTTCAGATCGATGTCCCGTGCTTGATGCTTCTACCTCTAGCTCTAAGAAAAATTGTCGAGGCTTTGTATGTTCGGGCAAAGCAAGGTGCAGGAGATAAAGGCCTATTATCTTCTTGGAATGCTAAGGCGAGAAACTTTCTCAGTATCCCATGTGGACTATGCTGAGTCAGGAGGTGCCTCTTCACTTAAAAATAAAGGGAAGATTATTCCTAAGACTGCTTTTTGTTTGCTGTGAAAAGCATATAAGTACTTTGGTCTTCTTCGGTCCGTCTCATGATTCCTAAGATAGAGGAGGGGGCAACTCACTCATCACTCAACCATGCATCCACGGTGAAAGACTAGCGCTAAGAATGATTGTGGAACGGACCTAGCAAACCGATTCGCCGCCATCATTGTGGAAAAATCATGGCAGCATGTAGCTTCCAGAGCAGTTGTTATGAAGATGCTTACATACTTACCCCCATAAGAAGATGCTTACATGCTTAGCAGTATTTCTAGAAAAACAGATTGACGATTTTTCAAGCTGCAGTGATTAAATATATGTAGTCGTGAAAAGAACATTACTCGGAGCTGGCAACGATTAGATTGCAGATATAACTGCTACTTCTCGACTTGCTTCTTTGGTTTTTTCTAGCCAGGCTGGCTGGTTCCACCACCAGCAAACTATATATGGAGCGCTTCTCGATGATCAGGTTGTACCCTCATCATCATGCAAACCGTTCAAAGGAGGTCAAAGTAAATAATCATCTCACTGACCTCTCTAAAGAAGTCACGACCGAAGGTGGTGGCACAGCTGCGGTGAAGATAACTTACGGATTCTACAACTTACTACAACTACTGCCTGCAAAATGTTGTTGAAAATGTTGTTAACCACGTATAGTAGCAGTGCTGGTTGTTATCTTTACAAAGAGATAAACGGCCATATCAGGGGCACTCCCTTTACAAGAAGTACTATCCTAAAAATCTTTACAAGAACAGTCCTGCTCTATATTATAGATCATGATCTATAACTACTGCCATAACTGCCAGTCCATCCAGTCCATAGCACGTGGTAGAGTGCGAGATAGATACAACTCTCAATCTCTCAATCTCTGGAGATCATCACTCTAAGTAGGTCCGTTCGATCTGGAGCAGATGATTCGCGGACCTCTCGGCTCAATTGTTATGAAGTCTCAAATAGTTCATCTGTTGGATTGTGACTCGTCTCTCAGTATCCCTGCTGTTGGATTGTGAGAGATATATGAATAGTGCTTGCATTGTGTCCGTCGATGTTCAAAAAATTTTTCATTGTTTTTCATGCTACTGCTTATCACATCAATACTCCCACATCGAAATACGCAACTCGTCTCTCAGTAGATGGCTATTGTCAGTCACGACAGGGACACGGACACACACATATGGAGATGAACTACTGTGCCTGCTACTTCTAAAGCAATTAAAATTAAGGGTTCTCACATTACATCCCTCAGTATCATCCCTGACGCTTTTCCCGCTAGGAAATGAGTCAGGGATGTTCTGAGGAACGTAATTGATTCCGTAACCTCTAATGAAAATAGGAGAGACACTAGTAAAAAGCTCAGTAAACCGGTCGAGAACCTGATGGATGGCGCACTCGCCGCACTCTCTCAGGTATTTGATTTGGTTATTTCAATTTTTAGACATATCCAATCCTTCTGCTTAGTTGTCGTAGTTATGTTGATAGCTTCTCTTATAATTAAGATGACTCTTCACTGCTATATATCACAACGTCTGAATCTGATTCATTGTCATCATTGTGATCATGAAGATGAGAATTAGCTGGTCTAAGGTTCTTCTCTGCTTCTCTATATCAAGAAGATTTTCTTCCGTATATCCCATCACTCTTCAGGTGAATGATATGGAAAAACAACCAACAGAACTAGTGCGAGAAGTGTTCGTAGCAGGTCTGGACACGTTGTACGAGAAGCGAGTGAGTTAAGGCTTCAACACTTAGTAAGAGTAGTAGTAGCAGTAGTAGAGTAGTAGCGTCGGCAGTGCTTCGCTTTTGTATTTTAACTGGCCCCAGTTTTAATATGAAGCCGAAAGATAAACGAGTAAGATGAATGTAAAGCGCTAGTGGTCTTTATCCTTGGGAGTGATTTAATCTTTACACGTAGTAAGTAGTTTCTAGTAGGGGTAGGCTATATTAACAAGTGGTTAGTCTTCCCTCATTTTCATCCTAAGTTAGTCCCTCAAGCAGAAGTCAAAGGGTTAATCCAAATTCTCTTCTAATGCGTTCTTTCCGAAGTCTCCAAGGAAATGCGTGGTGCTGCCTTTCGCTACTTCCTTCGACAGTGTCTGCCTTCCGAGGGAGAAGAGGAAGATAAGGCGAGTGGTCGTGCCTAGAATCGTTATATAATTATAAATCTGTGCCTCGCTCGTTGTGCAGGATTCACAACCTAACCTAACCCTTCGCTTTCCCTTTCTTTGGTTTTTTCCTAGTTAGGTCGGCTCCGCCACTATTATAAGCTACATGTTCTATGAGATTGTAGGCACAGGATCGTCAAGATTGTCTTACGGTCATTCTGCCTACAAGGAACAACTCTACTCGAACTCTTTTGTCCCGCCGTTGAGTAGATCAACGTCAAGTAAAAAATTAATAGCATATGGTGCTGGGACTGTTCTTTCTTCATTTCAGTTCTTTCTTCTAGTCGAAGAATCTTTCTTCATCTAATCTTGTCGTAGACGAGGCTTTTAGTCCTCTCGTTTTGAGGGAAGAGACAAAGCCAAAAGAGCGCGCCGCGATGATGCAAACTTTGCAGGCTTTGGAGTTATGTGTGGGATGTGGGATGAGGTAAATAATGTGCCGTAGATGATCATCAACCGTAGATGCGAGATGAGGTAGATACGAGGCGTTCTTTAGGCAGATAAGAGTACAACGCGAGGAACCCTAAATATGAAAGAGGTGGGACAACGTGAGCAGGAACCCTACACATGAAAGAAATGGAGGATTATTAAGATAGATACGAGATGAAGTAGATCCTCTACCGAGGGTACGAGATGGAGGTAAGTAGACACGAGTACCACGTGGGGACCAGAGTGAAGATGGGGACCACAGTACTTAGATGAAGAGATGCGGGATTCGCTCTTTCCTTCTTTTTGCTCTTACCTGTTGCGATTGATCTGAAGGGACCTCGCTCTTTCCTTCTTTTTGCTCTTACCTGTTGCGATTGATCTGAAGGGACTTTCTTAAGAACTACTAGGCACGCTCCTCGTTGGGCCCCTTCTCTCTAATGTAAGACCGCTTCACACAAGTCCGAAAGACTATGGGTATGGCCGATGGTGCGCGGACCAGGGAGACCTGCACTGCTTTTGCGGATTCGTGGAAAGATAGCAAAAAGAAAGAGGAAGACGAAAACGGGGCGGCGGGTGAAGTGGTGGAGAGTAAGAGAGAAATGAAAGAGGAACCAGAAGCAGAGGCTGAGCCCACTAGACCTGGGGTGAAAGATGGTTCGGAGGCTGCATCTGCACAGGAGCCAGAAGAAGAGCCGCAAGAGCCTACGGATCCGAAGCTGACAGCGCTGAAGAAAGCACATGGTATTTTTTATGACACTAAGTAGCACTTCGTTCCTATTACACCAAGTGAAGATGAGACGCATGGCCACGCTTCTTTCAGTGATGGTCACGCTTAGTACAATCTCGGCGGGGCTGTTTCGGGTGAGCTGTTCTGGCGGGACTGTTCTAGATGAGCTTCGCGGGCGGGGTTGTTTCGGATGAGCCACCCGGGCGGGGCTGTTTCAGATGAGCTTTGCTGGCGGGGTTGTTTCAGAGGCCTTTTTCTGGCGGGATTGTTTCAGATGTGCTGCCTTGGCGGGGCTGTTTCAGCGTTCTTTTTCTGGTGGGGCGGTTTGTTTCAGAAGGCAGTCTCTGGCGGGGCTGTTTCAGAAGAGGAGCCCTGCTCTGGCGGGGTTGTTTCAGCGGTCATTATCTGGCGGGGCTGTTTGAGCGTTCTTGCTCTGGCGGGGCTGTTTCAGAATTCTTTTTCTGGCGGGCTTGTTTCAGATGCCCTGCCCTGGGCTGGCTGTTACAGAAAGCCGGCCCCGAGCACGGCGAAAATCGCCCCTGTCCGGTTCTATATTATAGCTGCGCACTAGACTAGCCTCCACAAGCTTCGCCCGACTCCAAGTTTGGCACTTCTACGCCCACGGGCTACAGCTTTCTAGAGACGGCCCGCGGGCTGGGTAGTGCCCCTCGATGAATTTACTATAGCTTCCCTCTCTATGCCAAAACCGGGAACAGCGTGCGGCAGGGCCTAAGGGAGAAGCGCCGGCCGTTTTTCGGTGTTGGTGGGTGGGTTTGGTTTGGCGTTTTGTCTGCCGTGGGTCATTGGCTGAGCCGGCCTCCCCTCTCTATGCCAAAATCGGGGACAGCGTGCGGCAGGGCCTATTTAAAAAAGAAGCGCCAGCCGCTTTTCGGTGTTGGTGGGTAGGTTGGTTTGGTTTGGCGTTTTGTCTGCCGTGGATCATTGGCCGAACCGGCCTCGTCTTTCTATGCCAAAACCGGGAACAGCGTGCGGCAGGGCCCGCCTTAAAGAGAAGCGCCGGCTGTTTTTCGGTGTTGGTGGGTGGCTTCGCTTGGTTAGTTTGGCGTTTTGTCTGCCGTGGATCATTGGCTGAACCGCCCTCCCCTTTCTATGCCAAAGAAAACCAGGAACAGCTTGCGGCAAATTGATGACGCCCTCTCTGGGTGTGTTATTAATTTGCCACTATCTTTGTGATCGGGTGTTTTTGTGGGTCGGGGCTGGTAATGGTGGAAAAGGCTTAGCGGACTGGGGCTGCTAGTGGGGGAATGGTCTTAGTAGGTTGTGGCTAGTAGTTTGGTAATGGGTTGAGCGGGTTGCGGCTGGTAGTTTGGGGGTGGGTTCAGTGGGTTTCGGCGGATAGTGGGGGCATGGTTTTAGTGGGTTGTGGCTGGTAGTTTGGGAATTGGCTTAATGGGTTGTGGTTGGTAGTTTCGGGATGGGTTTAGTGGGTCGGAGCTGGTAATGGGAGTGTTGCTTTAATGGGTTTGGGCTGGTAGTAGAGGAATGGTCTTAGCGGGTTGCGGCTGGTAATTTGGGGATGGTTTTAGTGGGTTGCGGCTGGTAGTTTCGGGGTGGGTTTAGTGGGTTGCGGCTGGTAGTTTCGGGATGGGTTTAGTGGGCTGGGGCTGGTAATGGGAGCATGACTTTAATAGATTTGGGCTGGTAGTTTGGCGATGGTTTTAGTGGGTTGCGGCTGGTAGTTTCGGGATGGGTTTAGTCGGTCGGGGCTGGTAATTGGAGCATGGCTTTAATGGGTTCGTTTGGGTTGGTAGTTTAGGTATCGAAAAAATGGCCTGCATCCGCTTTTTAATTTTCTTTATGATATATAGGTTCATTTAATATAGAGAGCTGTCACGTGGTTCGCAAATGAATGAATGAAAATATAGATTCAGGCTCATGATCTAGATGTTGAGTCATGATATAGATTGAGAATTGATAATGTAGATTGGTGCTATAAATATTTTTTGCAATGTTTTAGGACTATCAATCATACACACGCACTTCAATAAATCATGATCTTCAAAATGCCGCATACTTTACACCAGAAAACGTCGGTGCAGCGTTCGTTTACAACGTTTTCAAAAAGGCGGCTAGTGAAATTCAGCTCGGTACTAGCCGGAACAAGATGAGAAGCGCTGCGAAGTCGAAACCTGGCGGGAGCTTTCAACTACAGTTACGCAGAGCACGCGACCTTCTTCTTAGTTGATTTTCCTTTTTGTTTTTCCTAGTTAGCCTCTAGCAAGCTTCAGCCAACTTGATTAAGATACAACTGCAGACATCATCCATTCATCCATCAAGAGCAACATCACTACGAAAGGAAAATAATATGGTGGATCGATTGACGAGTACATACTCAAACAGGCAATATGAGACAATGACACTGTTGACACTGCTGCTTCAGTCGGTCAGTGGTCCCATTAGCACTTGACGCAAGTTCTAAAAGAGAGCCCGTTCTATTCGCGGGATGGCCAACCTTTCAAGCTGGAGGAAGCACTCACAACGTTAAAGGGCGCAGAAGCCGAGGCAAAAAGTGCCAATCTAGAAGAGGACGTTTGCTACCTGATGCAAAACTTATGAGACACTTGTTATCCACTACTTCTCATTCTCATTCCTCTCAGCTGATTCATCTTGCTCCTGACACCAGAGATACTTGGTTACAGCTACTAGTTACACCTCATGAGCAGGAGGTTGACTAGTACTAGTACTCCTACTACTATCGCATTCCTTCATTCTGCCTATATGGAGAGAAGGAGCCGTCCGCTTCCTTGACGACTGAAACTTATGGTGAAAGAATGTGGCTCAGTCTACTCCTGATGAAAATATTCACTCCGTGATCACATATTGATGTTTGTGTAATTTTACTGAGAAGAATAGAATGGTAAGTAGACGATAAGAAATTAATATTTAACATTTGAAAGATGAAGATGATACGCGAACAACAGGCTGCCAAGGCCAACGCCTAATTCACTGTAAACAACTGTTGGCGTGGTAGCTACTGGAAGTCAATAACAAACTTCACACGTACGAAGACTGGAAACAGATGATAGCACTGTCCGCTTCTTTCCTTTCCTTTTCTTTCCTTTCCGAATGATGAAACATCTTCAAGCGTTGACGTTGCCTATTTTATACAAGGCAAAGGCTTTTATTGATTTTTGTCAATATAGGTAGGACTAGAGTTACGAATGGCCATATCAGGGGCACACACTGACATGACAGAGTTACCAGTTATTCACTTCGATCTAGCGTAGCCTTTTTTTGCTACACAACTCAATTCACATCGTGGGAGTAATACTCAACTCACATGGTATACAACATTCATAAATCGGTGGCCTCAGCGTTCGAGAAGCCAGAGTGCCTGGCTGACGAAAACCTTCTGCCGGTCGTAGAACTAAAGCCTGGCCAGAAAGCACGTATGGCTAGATATGTCTCCTTACGAGGAGGTACCTGAGCAGTATTTGGACACTAGCTGCATGCTCAACAAAACGTTACTTAGAAGCTAGTCGGCTAGAGCTTCGTCGATGTAATGTTATCGCTCGCTCCTTAGAGTGGTGTTGTAAGCTAGTAGAGTTGCAACATGGAGTTGAAGCGAACAGGTGACCACAAGGCTCTTTACTGAGAATAACTAATCGAGAACTCAAAATATGCGAGTTACTGACTGAAATAAGAGAGTCTTGACTACTGCATTCCTCTTCTTTCAGTATCTCCCTTATTTTCCCTAGCTACTCGCTTATTTCAGTTTATCGAATAGTCGGTTGGCAGCCGGTGGAGGTTTATAATAATTAAATAATCAGTTTGCTCCTAGTTTTTTCTCCATCTTATAGTCGACGGGTTCGTAGGCAATTAGTGCGCGGTAGTATAAGGAGGTTAATGCACTCCACCCGTCGCCGGCAGGTACACCGGACAATACTGGGATCACCCTTTTGGCGTTCTCGGACTACAAAAAAGAAATGTGCCCTGTAGCGGCGCCCTGATTGGTTGACTGACTGATTGATTGATTGCTAGTCGCCGTGCTTCTAAAGCTGTGCCACAGCTAAAGCAGACTCCTGAAAGCCGCTTTGTGTCCTATGCGATGTTCAAAAGAGCGTGTCTGAGCAGTCTAACGGCCCAGCGACAGTTAAGGCTCAATACAATTCATATCTACGAGCCGTCTCTCCCGGTTTCCGTCTTAGGACAATCGGGAGAATGTGAATAACTACAGAGAGCAAGAACGAAGTGAATTGTTTTGAGCTCTAATAAAGGATCGCGAGTGGAGCAACTTGCTTACGGCGTAACTTGCGACTGGAGCAGGAACAGCTTGTAGTTTAGTTGCCTTGATACTGGCGATTATATCAAATGAGAAGCACTACTGGTGAAGTAGATAGGAAAAGTCATCTCGACTCCTTGTCCTTTCATCTAAGTCACTACTACTCCTTCGGTACTGCTCTCAAATTACTGATTGCTAGCGAAAATGCAAGATACTGATTGACACTAACACCAAGCTAGATTTCACAAACTTTATTTGGAGTTCTCGTCTTGAGCCTGTCTAATATTACAGGAGGTCTGCGCGCGTTTGCCCTGGTAGTGGACAACTTCATGGGGAGACTGCTGCCCCTGGTCGTTGTCGGGGCCAAAGTTATGCAACAGCTTATACTACTCGCTTGAATTTCAATTTGATAAGCTCAAAGTTGTTAGACGTCTGTCGTGATTAGAAACTACTACGTCACGCTGGTGGTTGACCTTCTTGATTCTCTTTTTTTTGGCAAGCATCTCTTCGATATCAACACCTCCTTGACTTATACACATCAGGATTGGAAGGTGAAGTGACTTCTATTACTTAAGTAGTTTCTTTTTCACATCATTAGATGTTGAAGGGAGTTCTACTGCTTAGTAGCTTTTTTTACCGCTTTAAGCAAGATTCAGCCAAAGGGAAACAAGTCACTTCTACAACTGTTGCAAAAAGTGAGTGCAGCACCTTGCCGGCTCTGGATGACTGGATCCAGTTTTTAATGGAGAAACTGTGGACCTCAGCCACGGTTGCGAGCAAGGACAAGCAGAGCAGCAACGATGATATGGACAACATGACTCAAATTTCTGCAACAACAGTGTTGGCGCAACAGTTTTTCTGAGTTTCCTGTAAAGCTGCTAGATTTATTACTGTAAAGCTATTTTTACTTTAAAGTTGCTAGAATCTTCGTAATAACATGGTCATTAGATGTTGAATAAAAATATTGTGGGCTACAACGAACTGCTACTTGCTCTAACTCTCCTAAGCTTTTCCAGGTTTTCCAGCATCGTCTCGCAATGTTGCTGCTGTACTATCCTTCTCACAGTAAAATGCACAGTTACCGGAACGCGCCACTCATAACCGTGCGCGACGCTTTGGGAGATCCGGACGTCGTGAAGTCCTCCTCTACTTCTGCAGCATCATCAATTAAGCCTCAAAACTATATCTATATATGATATAATGTATAGACCTTTTACCTAACCTTACTTTTTCTTCCTAGTTAGCTTGGCTCCACCCGTATATATAATTAATATAATGTGTATAAATTATATTTCAACATTTTTTCAACTTCAAGAGGTCACTTCTTGCTGTTTCCTTCTCAGGATCGCAAGAAATGCACGCAAAAAGTGAATTGTTTTGTTGAGCTCTAAATCAAGTAGAACAGCGACCGAGCTCAAATTGCTGGGCAAGTTGTTTGTGGAGGTGGACGCTATCGAGGGCGGTGTGGTAGGTCCGTTCGAGAAGGTCTTTCCGGACTTCCTTCATTATGGTTAACACAAGTTGTGCTTGTGAATACCAATTGTGAGGACAACAAGGTGGTCGGTCACCAGAGGTTGTGAGACCACGTCGGCGACGACTCGGATAAGTGGCTATTGTTCCTGTTTGAATGATCATGATGCTCATGAATCAAGGGAGGCTTTAAATTTTGTTCAATCACTACAGGTTCACTTGAATGCAATGATGATGCTGATGCTAAAGCTAGTAAGGATATATGTAAGGAAATGCTCCTTCATTTCACGGGGTTGACAGCTGTGGTAGCAACCCCAGCTGGCAAGGTGTCGAAAGCGACTCGAGCAACTGCTTGGAAAATATTTGTGGAAGCAGGCTGCTTCGAGGATGTGCTTGGTGACAACAAGGATGATGCTCTTTTACGGGTGCGGGACAATTTATATACTAACAAGTCGTTGATCATCAATGGTGGCTGTAGTCGTTGATCATCAATGGAGGTTGATGACCACTCTCGTACGACTACCTCTTGATCAACGTTTGATGCTACCCTTTTCTTGACCCTAAGCGAAGCCGTGGCGTTCGTTCTCTATTATTCGTAGATCATACAGGTCTACGACAGCCACCAGTTGTTCTGAGATCTACATCAGTCACCTCTACGAGGACAACAACTAGGTTTATTATCATCTTCGATCCCTTCTAAGAAGATAGTAGGCCTGGATCTGGAACTACTAGTCTGTTGTTTGTAAGCTATGACCCATCGAATGCTCTTGCCAGGCACGTCAATCAAGCAGTCAGTCAATCAATCACTCACGTCGTTCAGTTGTGCTGCACTAGCGACACAGGCGTATCTCTAATGCTTCTGCCTACCGAGGGTGACGTAGACGTGGCACAAGCCAACTTGTGGGCCGTTCTATTGTACAATCAGAAGTACAGCTACAGGGCGACGCTCGTTACGGCAATTTTTTCTCAGTCTGGCTTCACATCATGAGATGAAGGGTTGGAAGTTGGCCTCATCTCTATGTATGAACAACATCTCTATAGCAGGCGTCTTCAAGTATAGGAAAGTGATAGATATGCGAGCTAGAGCGGTCAACTTTCAGCCCCTAATGAGATGACTAAGTAAGTAAGAGCACTCTGCTCTTAGTCTTCGCCCACACGATGTCCTAAGTACGTAAGTAGAAGCACTCTCTCTTAGTCTTCTTCGTCCACGTGAGATAGATATACTTCCGGAAGCTGCTTATATAATCTCTTTGTCTAATTCACGAAGACATAACTTTTCACCAGCAGAGAGAAGGAGGGTTCTACTTACTATCTTCTCCGTTTGTTCTCATCTGTCTCTTTTTAGCTACAGTGGAGCCCTCTTTTAGGAATTAGTCTGTACAAAATACTACTTCTATCAATCAATCCATTGGCGAGGCGCGGTAGTCCGAATCTAGCGGACGTGTTTTTTTTTCCCATATAGTGTCATGCAATAGTGACCGTGGCAGGCAATAGCAATATACTATGTCTCCCTGCAACAACAAGAACAGTAGCTTTTTCTTCCTGGCCAAGACAACCAAAGATCTTAGACTAATGCTCATGACTATTAGGTCCAAAGATCTCGGTTATTCTAACTAGTTACTTGCTTCTTTAGGTTTGTCGACTCCCTACTGAAGATCTTCTAACAAGGAGAAATGGAATAAGGGAGGGACAAAAAGTACAGCACCAAGCTCGACAACGGAGAACGACGAGGCGTGCGCAGCTGCTTTGGAGAAGAGCGTCTTGATTAAGGCTTGCCGCAATTTTTTATCTTGTTGAGAGCGTGTTGATTGAGGCTTGCCGCAATTTTTTATCTGGTTGAGAAGCATCCGTAGTTTTTTTCTCCCTTTGTTTCACAGGTTAAGAATGTATGTTCAAAACACCTTGGTAATAAATAATACGGGTCGTGGTCTATTACTACTGAAGTCTATAGTCATCAGGGAGATTTTTTGATTAAGGGTCTGTTGGAGTTTATACAAAGGAAAAGCGAGGAGAAGTATGCAGTAACACTATGCCAAAAGCGAACATAGCAAAGGGGTTCTGTAGCCAAAAAACGCACATAAAGTTCGAGGATCAGCTGGGCAGTATTCGCCTCAAAATGAAAGACTTCCATTCTGAGGCGAATAATGTACAAAAAAGCGCTTTTTTTGCGTTTCAATATGAGTAGGCTATTAATATTTGGTTATATCTCTAATCTGACGGCATTTACTGACTTGCAGTGGCAACTAGTAGTACCCATGCACACGAGTAGCAGCAGCACCACTATGGTTGATGCACCCGCTTCGTTTCTCGAGCAGGTGCCCAATTTGGGTCTCAAGTCGATGGTGTCGAAGCCGTTGTCGGCACTTTTATGCCAGTATTTCGACAATGAATCCTCCTAACTTGCATATTCCTCATATCTGACTTTCCTACTTAGGCGGGCTCCACCACTATGTATATTTATTGCCTCAACTTCTACTGTTTTTGTTTTTTCTACTTAGGCGCTCCACCACAATTTACTACCTCAACTACTAGCTCCTTGGAAAGGGCGGCGCGTTGTCGTGCGTCCATCCAATTCCCACTACCACGGCAAACTGACCCCATAGACAAGGCACTACTTCTACTTACACTTACTACTCCGAATACGCCTACTACTGCTTCTTGCCACTTCTCGTACTGCTACTATTTTTACAGCTGCAGAAGTGCTGGATTCGTACTGTACCAATCTATCAGCAGTTAATCAAGTAAGTAAGATATTCTAAAGTGCTACAAACATCATCAAGTTCTGTTTGTGCTAGTACATTGAAGAAATCAAATGCGCAGAAAGACTGAGGACGAAAAAAAAAAGTGTTAAAAAAAGACTGAGGACCGGGGTGAGAAACAGGGAAGCCCCGACTTGAATTGAAATGCGCAGTAGTTTAGAAGTGCAGCTGCAGAAGTGCTGGATTCGTACTGTACCAATCTCTAACTACTTCGAGTCGGTTTCGAAAACCATCGTCCTCGTCCCCGTCCAAGAAAGAAGAGTCTAACCCGAAGCTTGCCGAAATGATTAAGGCTCAATTCTACCATTCATCTCTTAGACTCTACGCGTCATTTTTCCCTATTGCTTTCTTATAGGATTTGCTTCTGGAGGAGGGTGGAGAGATATTACAGGGAACAAGAAGTGAATCGTTTTGAGCTCTAAAAACAGCGGTGAGGCCGATGACGATAATATGGTAAAGCGGCGCCTCCTTGATGTCAAAGTTCTACAAACAGCGCTCGAGCTTCTTGGAGGCGGGCAAAAATTGAAGTTGAAATCCGAATTGCAAGTCGGTTATGGTCGACATTTAGAAGTATTCATCTGTTGGCTAATTTTTATTCTGAGGGCACAGCGCATCGCATAGCCTAGGTGCTGGCATGCTAGCCAGTGTTAGACTTGATGTAATGGAAAGTAGGCGCGGAGGTCGTTTGTAGTCCCTATTCGCAGGCATTCAGCGCTTGGCGCCGGCATCCACATCTTTTTGGCATACATTTCACCAGCCAGCTAGTTTTTCTCGTTCTTTCGGATATCTCTAGGGTAGAAGAAGTTCCTGTGCACATTATTAGAAGACTGCAAGAAGGCTAAAAAGCCTAAGAGTAAGATGTTCGGAAGATGTTCGGGATGACAACTTACTAGCACACTCCAAAATACTAGCGCGCTGGTGCCGAGACGGGCCGTCGCTGAGGACACGAAGCAAGCGAAATATCTATGGAGAAAAGCTCTGCCCTACTGTGTGAAAGCAGATTTGCATATTTGCTATACTCAACAATACTTGTTTTACTCCCTTCGTCGAATTCTCGTCCGCGGGTAACCTCTTAGGCTCCCCTGTTGCAGTCTGCACAGATCTTTGTGCGAAATACTTACTTACATTGCATTGTACTCATCAATGGCTCGATTGAATTACACTCACTCTCTCTTTTTTAGTAGCTAATATGTAGTATCGGCATGATCCGGTGCGTCCCATCCTGGATCTGAAAATATACCCAAAAATGACACCAACCAAATACCAAGCTGTTCTATTTCTATTCATCTGAAAACTGTTCTATTTTTATTAATCTGAAAACTGACCTGTTCTATTTCTATTCATCTGAAAACTGTTCTATTTATATTAATCTGAAAACTGACCTGTTCTATTTCTATTCATCTGAAAACTGTTCTATTTTTATTCATCTGAAAACCCAATCGTTCTATTATTCATGTGACTGAGGTATATGATCTCTTGCCGTTCAACCATCTTATCCTATCCTATTCGTGTGAAGTAGAAGCATCCTATCGTATCCTATGAACCAGCTGTTCCATTTTGACCCCATCCTGGATCTTCTTTTCGTTCATATTTTCTTGCGAAGAAGGTGGAGGTGCTAGCGAAAGCGAAGAACGTAGGAAGGGAAGAAGTGCGGACCGCGATCTTAGACGCTGTAACGGAAGACTTTGAAAATTAAGAACTCTTCACACTGAAAACGTTAAAATAGCTCTTGTTGAATTGGTTAAGAGATAAGCAGTAAAAGGATCCGTGTAAGTAAGTGTAATGAAGATGTGAGTTGCACGGATTAGAAGATGATAATCTCGAGGTAAATAGACTGTACACATGCCTTCAATTTTAATCCCAAATCATGACGATGATCCTAAGAATTCAGGATCGATTTTGTGAGTCTATCCTCGTGTGTTGTAGCAGGATACTAACTCTATTCTTTTATGGAGTTAGAAATATATCTCAATCTCAATCTCTTTTTTTAGAAGGTCCACTCATCGTGCGCTCTAATAAAACAAGATGAAAATGGAGACGAGTAGCAGTACGAGTGCAACCGTTCTGCTCTGCGGATTGGAGCATCCTGAACAAGGTGAGAGCACACAAGGTGAAAGCATTTCCACGTCTTCGTCTCGTATGGCTCCTGTGCTGATTATATTTGATAGCTTTAAGTAACAATTTTTTAGAGGCTTACTTTAGTTAGATTTTTCCACTCTCAGATCTCGTCTCTACGGTCATCAGGAGAGTTGGCAACAGGGGTATACGCATTGCATCTCCTCACTTGTTTCTAGAGGTGTGTAAAAGCACTAACATCAAACTACAAGTACAACCTACCACTTTCTCGCTTCAAAACACATTCTCATCGCATCGAGGAGTAACGCAGTAGAACTAGAGAGTAAAACGCAGTAGAACTAGAGAGTAGAACGCAGTAGAACTAGAGAGTAGAACGCAGTAGAACTAGAGAGTAGAACGCAGTAGAACTAGGAGATCGGTGAAGAAAGGTAGAAATCTTCTGGTCCCAAGCCCAGACTTTTACTTTTTGGTATTTTCAACTAGTATTCATCGATGTGCTGTAAGTCCCTTGGAGGGACCATTCTCTTCCAGTGCTCTGAGTCCCTTCCATCTCTGCTAGACTGTGTCGTGGCACTAGAGATAAAGCATATTCGCAACTTCTAGTAAGATGTGAAGTAGTCTAATATCCCCGACGAGGTAGAAATCGGCTCTGCGCCGGACGCTTTCCGTATCTACTGGGAGAAGTGCTTAGACAGTTACGGTCTTCCTTCCTTTTGTTGCGGCCTATCGAAAGCGGCCTTTTCTTGATCTTGTTCTTTTTATAAGGTTGAGGCTTAGGTCCAGCGGCGCTCAAAGCACTAATTAAAGCAGCCGGTTGGTTTTACCTCTAGAGACTTAGCCCTTCCAACAATAGTTAGTAGTTAATTTTGGTATTTTTTTGATAATAGATTAATGGTAAAGATTAAACAGAACACCTGCTCAGTTTACTGATCAGGGCAACTCCTGCTCACCATGACCACAGAGCACCCTCTCACTAGCCTCCACACTTCTTCCACGTAGCTGTTGTGACTGGGAGCACCTCCATTGGTTAGGATGTTAGGACGCGCTCTAAGGCATTGGCTCCGGACCAAAGAAGGACTTGAACTCCGCTGACCCGACCGAGACTGAGACTAAGGCTTTGACTTCAATGTTTCACAGACAAAAATTGCTACACAAGAGGTGCCACTATGTGACATGTTTCAAGAAGATTTGATATTAGTCGAGCGTAGAGGTGCGGCAGTCGCAGCTGCGGGGAGGGCGGTGCCCTCTCGGCGTTCTCGGACTACAAAAAAAGGCGTCCTTCGGAGGCAACGGATTGATTGACTGCTTGACTATTCTCCTCTAAAATACGGAGGATAAGCATTTTGCAGAAGGTACACAGACGGGCCAAACAGGCGATGCGATCCGCAGGTGGAAAAACAGAACTTATGTGACAGACTCGCAAAATGACAGATTCGCAAGAGCGTTATATGCAAGGACAGACTCGCAAGTTCGTTCTTGTATCAAAATACGTAGGTCAAAAATTGAAAACTATTTCGTCTACCTCTATATTCTTGATCCTATGTATTCGTCTGTAGGTATTCTATTTCCAGTTGAGTATCGCAAAGAGTAAGTACTTGCAGTGAGGCAGGGGGACTCGGCGCGTCACGAGGACTAAAGGACTAAGATTGCCACAAGGTGGTTAACAAAGCAGAATTGCTACTTTCACGAATTTTTTCGTTTCCACAAGATCATGCTACGAAAAATATGTGATGTACAAGAATTCGATCATGACTAAGCTATAGGCACAGCGCTAGTACTGGCGCAGGGGTACTTCTACCGCACTCTAAGTAAAAGAGCAGGCAATTGGACGCATGCTACTTGGAGATCCAAACCCAATTTGCCGAATTGTTTTTAAGGCTTCTCGGATTAATGTATTGGATTGTGACTCTGCGGCCTCTCCCGCAGGTACGCTGGATATCTCACTTCAGGATATCACTCGGTGTCGGCGCCACGCCTGAAGTGAGATATCCACCGCACCACTTCCAAATAGAAGCGACCTCACTTCAGGCTCTCACTTCACTTTAGGCTCGTACTTCACTTGAGGCTATCTCACTTCAGGCTCTCACTTCACTTCAGGCTATCTCACTTCAGGCTCTTACTTCACTTGAGGCTATCTCACTTCAGGCTCTTACTTCACTTGAGGCGATCTCACTTGCTCCAGGATATACCACTCCAGGATATCACTTGGCATACAAACAAAAAAAGCAGCGGAGGATCCTAAAAAGCCTTGAACCTTGAGCCTTGTATTGTGACAACGCAGGAGGCAACATTTTGAGTTTGTAACGTCCTCCCCACCTCCCAAGGACTTTCATACAGTGTAATGTGCCAACATACTATTAGCCATCTCTAATTTTTGTCGGCAAAGCCTGGAAAATGTTCCACAGCCTTAGTATGCAAGACACCATGTTGCCCACTGACGCTGAGATTCGCTTCTTCAAGGGTGAACGCACCGACATTGTAGCACAGGTACTATCTTCTATTTATAATTCGAAAACTTAAGATATGCAAGTAAGTTCAAGAATGCTGTTCTAAGTTAGTAGCTTTCTTAGATCACTCTACTCGGCTATTTCAATAGTTGTATCCATCCTAGGTTCTTAGTCCCTCCAACCAAAGCGTCTATTCTTGAATTAAAATGTTGTTAAAGCAAAAGCACATAATGAAGAAACTGTTGCAGTGGATAAAAAAATTGATGCACTGGCTTCGCTATACCAATGCACATACAGAAAATCAACCTGTTGCCGTACACCCGATCTTTCAGGAGATCTGGGAACGTCTTCTATCATCACCTTCATCTACTTCACATATGCTACTACTTATATGGGAGGTTAGTCGTCCCTTCACTCAATATCTTCTGTTCAACAATCCACAACAAGGCCTTCACACGGCCGGGTAGCGAATTGTCGGCCTTGCCATCATTACGCAGGCTCTGGACGAATCCACGCGAGAAGATCAAAGCTGGAAAGGTACCACGATATTATAATGGAAAGGTGCTACGACATTATAATGGAAAGGTGCCACAACATTATATAAGGTACCACCACATAATTCTTTATAGACGCTTTTGCGAAACGAAAACCTCTGGCAAAATGATGCTATTCAAACAAAATGATTGAGTAACCTCCTCCCATAACAGGACGCTTTAAGGTTTTCCCCATAAGTTAAGAGGTGTGCTGCAAATCTTGACTGGATTTCATTCTATTCGATTTGAGAAGATCAAACCTGAATAGGTACCACGACGTCATAATGGAACAAGCGAAAAGTTGGAGAACACCCACCTCTCGTCCATGACTTACTTCTATTTAGAAACTAGAAGGACAACTAACTACTATGTTTTTAGAGAGAAGCTCTGTGTCTGTATTGACTAGTTTCTGTAGTATGTACATAATACTACTTTCTACTTGGGATGAGGATGTGAATGAATTGTAAGTTATAACGTAGGCTATAGTATTCCTTGTTGTTCCTCCTCCTGTCTTCGATGTATCTATGAGGCTTATCACGCTTCAGGTTCTAATTTTCAATCAGAGTTATTCAAATAAGTCAAATCTAGGGTTCTGAGCCTGTATTATTTTATATTTATCACGCATTCAATCTAGGTCTAGCTTCTCTTTTGTTCTTTTATCTCTGAGTTTTCTCTGGCACTTATCTCACGCTTACGCTTATTCAAATAAGTCAAAGCCCCATCTACTTCTTTTAACTGTAATACAGCTTGTTGCTCAAGAAATCCCATGGCAGAATCTTTGTGAGACATTTATTGCATTGCCTTGCAGTGTAGTTCTTTCTTCTACTCGGCTGAGGTGGATACCCCGACCTACTCCAGATTAATCTACTCTACTCTACTATACACTCTAATCTACTTTTACACTCTACTCTACACTCTAGTCTAATCTAATCTACTCTACACTCTAACCTAATCTACTCTACACTCTAATCTAATCTACTTGGGCCAGGTGTCAGAATCGATTTTGCCGAAGTCTGCGCAAATAGCGACTCAACAGTCTCGAAGGCTTGCGTGGCAATATTTTGAAACGAATTGTCTCCAGGAAGAAAAAGTTAAGAAGTACACACCTTCGCTTGTTCGATCTGTATTTCATCCCTCTAAGGGAACCAACCCTGAGTGATGAGTCGTTCGGATGTTGTAGTTCTTAGCCCCTATTATTGTTGTTAGTAATATATCCAAATCTCCAAATCTCCAAAATGTCTATCTGTATCTATTCATGACAGCGAAAGAACTCAATGGATCACACACACGTTGTTTTCACTATTCCTGAGCCAGTCTTTCTAAGCAGTAAGATGGAAGTGACCTCTCTTTAGAGCTGGACAGTGGGGAAGACAGTGACGAAGTTCAACTGCGGGTGCCTGACTTGCTCTCTGACCTGAACAGGCTATATACGGAAGTTAAGACCTGAGTCCTGAGTTCAGGCTAGGCAGTATATACTTCTTACTTTGTTGACAAAGACTAGTAGACTAATACGAAACTTCATCTTAGACGACAGAATACAATAGAACGAATAAGAAACTCGAAGATGAACAAGAACAACACACACACACGAACAATACGAATACACGAGATAGAAAGTGCTACACTTCTTGTCGTGAGTGACACACAGCGGCTGGAACTCTTTTGTCTTATTTTAGATGCACGATATTTTTCCATCATCTTATTCTGAGTGTAAGTGTTTGTCTTTGTAGTAAGACTAACGACGTGCGTTCTTTCTTCTTGCTCCACTAAGTCTGGAAGGTTATCGTGAGTCTTGAAAGTAGACGTACGCTGATGACGATGATTGGCAACATGTAACTGCAAGGGGCATCTCGTCCAGAGTAAATATTCAGTGTTATAATTTGTAATTTATCACTACTTGTTATTCATCCACACAGGTGTTCCGTTCCGGTCACTCCGAGTTTTTCATTTGCACAGATAAGAGTGTTCTACTGAGGAAGTGCTACAACTAGATTAGGAGTACTTCTAGAACTAGATTAATAGGTGTACTACTACTCGTGAACAAGATGTTAATGAGTCAATGTTTAGTGTCAAAGCAAGGTGAAGACTAGGATTTATTGAATGCGGCGAGACATGCTTCGCCATCTAAGAATACTCGGGAGAAAGTAGACAATAGCGTAGACGAAAGGAAGACAGTTTCCGCAGAAACCCTATCGAAATGTGCTGATATGAGCAAAGACTACACCCGAAAAGAGGAACTCGAAGAGGATGCAATCGCTGAGCAAAAGGTTATGGAGCAAAGTGACCACAGGTCATATCTTCTTGTTTCCCTATGTTATAAGGTCAGATCATATTGGACGAGGATAAATATTTGTTATAACTCGGTTTTTACACTACTTGGCCCGGCCGAGTACATCAATCAGGGACAACTAGGACATCTCTTTCTTCTACCCCTTAACGTACTGCCTTTCGTCTCGTCATCAGTCTGGTACATGAGCACGCGATATAATTGCCTTACTCCTGTAGATCATACATGCTCGTCATGCGTCTGCTTTCTTCTAATGGCCAAGAGGATGCCGCGGATGAGGAGCGTGAACAGGCAGAAAAGCTAGAAAGGGAAAGGGCTGAGGAAGAGAGGCTACGAGAAAAGGAGAGGGAGGAAGAGCTAGAAAGGGCCGAGCGGGAGAGGGAAGAACGAGAAAAGAAGCAGAAGGAGATAGAGGATGAGGCCGCTGAAGCTGCAAGGAAAGCTCAGGAGGAAGAACGACGACGTAAAGCTAAGGCTTGCGCGAATCCATCTCTATAGACATCCTTTAAGCATATTCACCCCAATACAAGGGAGATACTGACGCATATGCTTGAGGGATTTCCACAGAGATGAAAAGGGGAGGAGGCTAATATAGACGCGGAAGATGCTTAAGGCTTCTCCTAATGATCCATCTTCAGAGAAGTCATCCTCGTAGAGAGGCTTTTTAAGGGAAAAAGGGGACCAGGATGGCTTCTCTGAAGATGGATTAGGGTGCGCTCTAAGATAATGCTGAAGAAGCGGAAGAAAATCTTAAAGCAGAGAAGTTGTCGCAATAGTAAATCTGAATTAATATGAGCACGTGAACAATTATCGTTCCTCGTCTTAATATTCTTTCCGCCATACAATTACCACTCTTTTCCAACTTAGACCGCTTCACGAACTATTCTTTCCAACTTAGGCCGACTATTGTTCTTCTTCCCCTTCAACTGCTGATTAATTTCTCGTATACCCCAAAACTGGGTACACTACTACTACCACTACTACTCCTCCTCCTCCTCCTCCTACTAGAGCGCTAATAGAACAAGGGCACTGGAACTCGACGAGGCTCCCGAAAAGGAGGCTGGGGACGGGCGTAGCTTAAGGCTAGTGAACTAACTATCCCATGTGACTGCGGTAAGTAAGTATGCTGAGTGGAGTTTCCCTCGAGTCGATTAAGCGGGAAAATAGAGGAGAACGAAGAGGGGAAGAGTCCACTCATAGCCAGGCGTAGTGAAAAATTCGCGCTATTAAGTAAAGAAGCTGACGACCTGCCGCCGGTTTGCGAACTGGATAAAGCTGAGGCCGCTCTTTCAGTAGCCCCAGGATACAAAAAAAAACGAGACTTTTTCTGAAGTCTCCAATTCCAAATCCATTCAGTCTGTCTAGAAATCGAAGGAGTGAGCATTACAAACAGTAAGCTAGAGGACTTTGTCAAATGACAACAGAAGTCCTGAAGCTCCATCTCTAAAAGAAGAAGAGGCGAGAACGGCAGACGATGCCGCAGACGCGGCAAAGGCGGCTGAGGATGAGGCGAAGCTTAAGGCTCTCTACTCTCGTTGTTCTAAGGAAATTCTCGAGCTTCAGAAAGACTGTCTAGAAAGTGGCTTTGAGTCTTTGTTCTGATCCATCTTCAGATAGTAAGTTGTATGTGCATACGTCTTGGACGAGGAGCACTACTCGGGAATTGAATGAATGAAAAAGGTGGGCATTTGCTAGGTGGAAAAGTCCTCTCACAAGTGAGATCTTTACCCAAGGAGTACTAAATGGGACACCATGATGATTGGTTACGGGAATAAGCAGTATGGCTATCGGTGATGATGTGAAGGTCTGAAGCTGTGGCTGATGAAGGAAACACTTACAGGCAATCACGAGCTCTAAAAAGAGACGCAGCGAAGAAGCCAAAAGCGACGCTGATGCCGGAGGCGATCATGTAGAAAGAGAAAATCTCGAGCGCGAGGCGAGAGACGCTGAGCTTGAAGCTGAAAATTAGGCTGCTGAGTTGATGCAAATTCTTGTGAAATGTTGCCTTATCTTCCCTCCTTCGCGAAAAATCAGACAATATCAAGGACTTCTCTGCAGCACTTCATCTACATACATTTATTTCCTCATAAGTAGGCTCCTCCTTTAAAAAGTCAAGTGGCTCAACGCCGGCGTAGTACGTTAAATTTATCCTGCTCTTTGAACTCTTTCGAGACTGTCCTGTGGGGTCGAGTCGCAGCAGCGACTTGATAGATCAGATATTGGACACATGCCATGTGGCAAGTGAGACATCTAAATCTGTTCACAATGTCGCATCGATAAGGATATCATGCTTTATCTTCAATAGACAAATACTAGTTATCAATGGACAAATATGAGGCTTCATGAAGCACAAGTGCAAGATACTTCGCAAGAAAAGTTCAACGCTGCTCCGTACTAGATACTCAACTTAGCAACCGTCTAAGAAATAGCGAAAGAGGCCGCGCTAGAGGCAGAACGCGAGCGCGAAGCTGCAGAAAAAAGGAAACGCGAAGCCGCAGAACAAGCGCAGCGCGAGCGTGAAACGGCAAAAGAAGCGGAGCGCCTGCGCGAAGCGGCAGAAGAAGCGAAACGCGAGCAAGAAGCTGCAGACCAAGCAGAGCGCGACGCTGCAGATCAAGCGAAGCGCGACGCTGCAGACCAAGCGGAGCGCGAGCGTGAAACGGCAAAAGAAGCGGAGCGCCTGCGCGAAGCGGCAGAAGAAGCGAAACGCGAGCAAGAAGCTGCAGACCAAGCGGAGCGCGACGCTGCAGATCAAGCGAAGCGCGACGCTGCAGACCAAGCGGAGCGCGAGCGTGAAACGGCAAAAGAAGCGGAGCGCCTGCGCGAAGCGGCAGAAGAAGCGAAACGCGAGCAAGAAGCTGCAGACCAAGCGGAGCGCGACGCTGCAGATCAAGCGAAGCGCGACGCTGCAGACCAAGCGGAGCGCGAGCGTGAAACGGCAAAAGAAGCGGAGCGCCTGCGCGAAGCGGCAGAAGAAGCGAAACGCGAGCAAGAAGCTGCAGACCAAGCGGAGCGCGACGCTGCAGATCAAGCGAAGCGCGACGCTGCAGACCAAGCGGAGCGCGAGCGTGAAACGGCAAAAGAAGCGGAGCGCCTGCGCGAAGCGGCAGAAGAAGCGAAACGCGAGCAAGAAGCTGCAGACCAAGCGGAGCGCGACGCTGCAGATCAAGCGAAGCGCGACGCTGCAGACCAAGCGGAGCGCGAGCGTGAAACGGCAAAAGAAGCGGAGCGCCTGCGCGAAGCGGCAGAAGAAGCGAAACGCGAGCAAGAAGCTGCAGACCAAGCGGAGCGCGACGCTGCAGATCAAGCGAAGCGCGACGCTGCAGACCAAGCGGAGCGCGAGCGTGAAACGGCAAAAGAAGCGGAGCGCCTGCGCGAAGCGGCAGAAGAAGCGAAACGCGAGCAAGAAGCTGCAGACCAAGCGGAGCGCGACGCTGCAGATCAAGCGAAGCGCGACGCTGCAGACCAAGCGGAGCGCGAGCGTGAAACGGCAAAAGAAGCGGAGCGCCTGCGCGAAGCGGCAGAAGAAGCGAAACGCGAGCAAGAAGCTGCAGACCAAGCGGAGCGCGACGCTGCAGATCAAGCGAAGCGCGACGCTGCAGACCAAGCGGAGCGCGACGCTGCAGACCAAGCGGAGCGTGAAGCTGAAGAGGAAGCGGAACGCAAGCGCAGACTCGAAGAACAAGCGGAGCGCGAGCGCAAGGCCGCAGAAGAAAGAGCGGGGCGTGAAGCTGCAGAAGACGCGCGGCGCGAAGCTGCAGACCACGCGAAGCGTGAAGCTGAAGAAGAAGCGAGGCGCAAACGTGAAGCTGAAGAAGAAGCGCAGCGCAAGCGTGAAGCTGCAGAACAAGCGGAGCGCGAGCGCAAAGCCGAAGTACGAGATGAGGAGCGGGAGAGGGTTCAGCTTCGGGCCTCCGCTCGCTTTGGAGGTGACCAAGTCGTTCGCCGAATGAACACTGTTAAGACCCCTCATCGAAAACTTTAAAATTTCGAAAAAATGTCCAATGGCGAAGCAAGTTACTGAAATAATAGAGTAAGTAGCTTCACCAAGACGCCAAGAGGCTACTCTTTCTTCAGTTTTCCTGTCGCGGCTTATCCTAATGAGTATTAGCTTGCTTATTTCAGTTTTTCAAATACCGAGTCTTCGAAGTTCCAGCGTCCAGGGATGAGTGACTAAGACTAGTCTATAGGAAGGACGCAGCATATGTATAGTTAACCAGAATGTTGTACTCTCCAGGAAAAATATTAACTCTCTACGTGGATACGGCTCTATACGTGGCTTTAAGCCTAGTCTTCGAAGTTGACTGGTCTATAGGAAGGATGCTCTAATCACAACGAGGTATATGGTAAAACGTGGACATGGATCCCGAACTCATGGACCCTGCCTTCACAAAGCCGAGAGGAAGCTGAAGATGACCACGTCGTAGTAGAGTTTCATCTTCGAGCATGCAGAAACATTCCAGATTACATTTTGAAATTATGCTAGTTCTTTCGGTCTTGTGTTTTCGGTTCGTTTTGAAGAGTAAACTCGTTGTATAGTAGAAGAGCTACTTGAAGGGAGAAGAAGAGAGAACTAGAAGAAAGGAAAGAAATGGGCATGATCTCTAGTACTGCGATATATACATTCCAGATTTTGACGCAGAAACATTCCAGATTTTGATCAATATATAATATCTTGAAGTTATGGCACTTCTTTTGGTTGTATTGTATTTACATCTTGTATTTGTTGTACACATTGAGAGGCCTCATAGATAGACGCGAACAGCTATAGAAGAGGCTCCATGACATGCCATGTACTAGTAGCGCTTTGGTTGTGATATATTCGAAAACTCAAAATAAACGAGTTACTGACCGAAATAAGAGAGTCTTGACAACATTGATTCCTCTCCTTTCAGTATCTCCCTTATTTTCAGTCGTTACTCGCTTATTTCGGTTTATCGACTACATGATCTTCCTTGTGCTTGAACAACTTGTAGTAGCGCATACATTATATATTATGATTTTCATCATGCTGGTCGATAGGTTGCACATCATCTATTTTTAGTGCCTGTAGGTCGGAGTAGACATAGTTTCTAATCCAGCTTCCGCGAAATTTTCGATCGCGTCTGGAACTAGATGGCCTAGGTATTTCTGAACATGGGGAAGATGGGGAAGAAGGTCTAGATATTCTAGAACACGAAGCCACCTTCGATTTTGGGCGTGAGACCTTCGTTTCGGAACTGGACGTCACACGGTTGGTGAATATTAAGGCTAGTCTTCTTGTTCTTGTTTTAACTCTGTTGAGTGGAGTCACCCTTTTCACTATCGCCACATGTGGACTGCTACGCTGGGCGAGAAGGTTCTCTTCTTTGATATTGATTTCTTAAAAAAGGGGTCGGGAACGAAAGAATCCAAGGCGAAACGAAGGGGCATTCACTCAAGAGTCACGGATTTAGTGAAAAACTAGCGCTAAGAATATGGGTCCGCAGCTGAAGGAAGACAGCATGAAGCTTTCCCGGGAAGGCGGCTCTGCGAAAGTTATGTTTTGCGGGTCGTGTTGTTTCTATTTCATACGAGTTTGTATTCATGATGTGGGAATCCACAATTATAGTCGTACTGAAGTGGTGTTTCTATTTTATAATCACCCACCTCAGGCTCAGTCTCAGTGGACATCGCATATTCATTCTGGGAAAAAGTAGATTCCTGCTGTTAGAGAGTTCCCATCAGGATGGCATTTCTGGAAGTACCATAGCGCAAGGCGGGGACGAAGACTCAGAGAAAAGTCACACTCAGAGGAAATTTTAATTTCGATTTTAACTGAAACACATCATTTGTAGCACTGTGAGTACAAGAATTAGTAGTGATGGACAAGGACAATACGTACTGGAGCTGAAGAAGACACACAATCGCTACCCGTGAATAAGTACTTAGTCAAGCATCTTCTATGGTACAACCCCACGACTGGGCACACTACTCCTACTTCTAACAACAATGAAAAGTCTTTCGCCAGTTTGCTGGACCACGCGATGGAGAAGATCACTTTGTCCAGCTTTTTGCCAGAATACTTCATCCGCCGTGAGCTCTTTGGGCAAAAACGAACCGAAAGATTGCAGGATGTGCATCTGCAGTATAAGTTAAGAAGATAAATAAAATGTTGAGGAGATTATAGGTTTAGGTAAGTGGTTTTTTTTATCAAGAGCTCTAAGAAACGAGGTCAAGGCGCTGATCATCCGCCCTCTCTGCGAAGCGGGCGCGATCTAAGGAATGTTGGAAGAATAGAGAAGTGTTGTTCCATTAGGGTACCACACTGGGAGGGGACGAAGAGGTGGTAAAGAGTCTCCAAAGGGGAAAGATGTGGACGAGGTAAAGAATTTTTTGGGTGTAGGTGTAGGATTGGGATTTGGAGGTGCAGGACTGAGATTAGGGCAGAGAATATTCAAAAATCCAGTACGTGCACAAGATGGAAGTAGTAGATAGGAGTTTCGAAGAAAATTCAAACAGAGTACTACGTTGAAGTTGTTACAGAAATAGATCCAAGACGTTGCAGACTTAAAAAAGAAAGTTGTTGATCAAAAAGATTGTGTCGCGATAAGTTTACTGTCGCTAGAGCGACGTTATGAGATTAGCATTGTAGAACGTTATGAGATTAGACTGTGTATTTTTGTTAGAAGAAGCCATCCTGATGTACAAAGAATGAAGATTTTCTAATTGAACCTGTAACAGCAACAACTATGAAAAAAAGTCGCGTGTTTACATCCAATTTTGGGAACGTTAAGTAGAAGCGAGTCGTGTTTAATCATTTTTTTTTCGAGGCAAAGACAGAGTACGACAGAGGACTATTTTTATGTGCGAACTACATCTTCAAGGACCATCACGACAAGACAAGTCAGCGTATTTCAGAAAGAAGTGCTAAAAACAGCTACATATAACTGCATGATAGAACGGACTTCATTCGAATTGAATGACACAAGAATAGAGGACCACGGAACGCTTGTTGTAGGAAAAGAATTATCTTCGTATCGAGAATCGAAAGAGGCAAAGACCTTCGTATGGAATTTCACCGGTGTGTCAGTACAAGTTTTGAAGGAGCAAACTAAGAAGTATTCAAAGGAGGTCACTAAAAGCTAGAAATGAGCAAGTGACAGAGCATATATGCTGAATTGGATGAACATCGAGAAAGAGTGGCAAATGATTGCCTACTATCCGAAGCAGACAGTCTCATTGAAAAGTCTTTTTTTCAGAATTACTAAAAAAAGTCGTGAAGGTGTAACTTATTATGAAGAATGCTTGTAATTCTATTGTTCCCCTATTCCCGTCAAGGTAGAACTTATTGCTGTAAGCAAGCTTGAGAAGGCCAAAAGCTAGAGCATGTTGTATTTCATCATGAGGTCGTAGGAGGACAGAGATCATGATTCACATTGCGTCCCCTACCTCTATCAGTAAATAGCAAGTTTTACGAAGAACAACAGCTGATAATTGAATATCATGAAGGTTGGTTAAGACTACTTGTATGGACAACGAGCACCAGCGACAAAAGATGGTCTGCAGTTGTAGTAGAAAAAGTTGATTGAAAAAATACGGATTTCCGAAGCTTGCTTGTTTTTCTGGCGGGCCCCCACCTAATCTAACTGCGTTGAGGCGAACTTAGATTTGACAATCAGCAGGTAGAGGTGTCTTTCTTCTCCAACACGTTGAAAATTTTAGAGGTCTAAGCATAAGAATTCCAAGAGTAGGATGTGCATGTAAGCAGCTGTCATAAGATACTTAATGTGAGTCCCTCGAAAGCGGCATAGGTATTAATCCCCGATCGGAATCAAGTATGACGTACGAAATTTTGTCATATCAAAGATGACCCAGCAGAAAAAAGCACACCCCGTGCCGTGCAGAAAAGAACTCCAGTCATGAAAACCCCTGTCATAGGAAGGAAAACTGCTGTCATAAGAAACAGTGTCATTTTCAAAAACAGTGTCACCAATCATCAGCTGTCCTGAAAGCCGCAACATCATCTTCTGAGGAAAAGACTCCATCACCTAGACCAGTCAGAAGTATTCTTGTATATGTTCATGCTCCACCTCTACTCGTAAGGAAATGACCCGTAGACTATTTTTTTAGATCATGGTGCACATTCATGTACACGTTGGACTTCTTCGGTTATCAAACCCATATTTCGGTACTTGTTGTCGCTGTCGGTATTGTGTCACAGACAGCCGCGGTCGTGCTCTTCAACGTCTTTCCATGATGTCCACGCTCATTCATCCAGACCCAAATTTAACGACGCGTCTAAGACTCGGTGTGCGAGGTCGGATGCTTCCTTAGAAAAAAAGCCTTTAGTATATCGGTCGAAGAGGTTCACATCGGTCCTCCAAGAGCAATATTGCCTCCTACCTGTTTCCGCGTGATATGCTAGGATGATGATTTTTCTACCCCAGTCCCAGAGTTTCTGTCGCTTATCAGAGGTCTCGGAGAATGATTTTCCGTTGCTCGGTGAGTTTTGTAGTCTCTACTCGTAAAAAAATGGTACTTACTTTAATCGCATGCGCGCTTGCTCTTCATTTTCTTATCCTGAAACAACGAAATAAAAAGGTAGATTACGTGGTCTTATCGTGATTTGTGTTGGTCGCGTCCTCTTAGTTGCCCAAAGCACACGATCCTTCTCCTTCATCTAGTATCTGTCATTCTACGTACTTCAAGATTGCCTTCTTCCCTCGAGTATCTTTTCACCGATTCATCGCGCAAGAAAAGCAAAAATGGCGGACGACAGTGCGTGGTGGTACCCGGCTGAAGAGTCAGGTGATGCTTGGTACGAAGATTGGGATACTGATTGGCAAGGAGCCACGACTGGTGCCAACACTAGTGGAGGAGCCTCGACTAGTTATAGTAATATTTTTAAAGGAACCTCAGCAGGAGCTTCTTCATCATCAACTACAACAGAAGCAGGCAAAGCACCGCACGGAGGCAAGACCAAGGGGGACAAAAATGGCGCGTCAACTTCTTATAGCAGATAAGGCTTGTGTTTGTGATTTTAGTGAGGAGTACAAGGAAGTCAGTCTAAACCAGATTCTTCTTGTAGTCACTCCAGAACTAGGGCCAGAAGTGACATCTTCCAAGATACATAGCTGTACTACCTTCCAACTATGACTTCTAAGATTTCGCTTCGAAGGGATACGAGCAAGATAGCAATAAAGGCTATGGCTACTACGGAGGTTACGATTACGAGAAAGGAGGAGGTTATCACAGTAGCGATTATCAAGGACACCAGAAAGGCTATCGTGGGACGAGCAAGGGGTACAATAGCTATGTCGGCACGGGGAAAGATCAACACCATGGTGGAGCAGGTAAACATGCAGGTTCGTCCTCAGCAGGGTCATCGTATAAAAGCTATGGTTCTGCTGCTGCCTCTGCTAAGGGTGGATGTGGCAGCGTTGCTAAAGGAGGAAATGCTAGCACATCATGTTAAGGCAGTTGGATTTTCTCTAAGTCCATTCGTTTGATCTATCTACTTGACAGCTATCTTCATCAGATGAGAATGGGTCAACAAGGAAACAAATCTCATCAGTCCTCGTGTCGATCTCTAATCCCAGAAAGGTTCCTCACACAACAACTACATCTATGGCCACTACGGTAGCTCGGCCGCGCAGTATGGAGGAGGATCGTCTTCACACCATGCAGGAGGACAACAACACGAGTACACCTCATTGTACAAGAGTGGTGCTGCAGCGTCGTACTCTTATCATCATAAGAGCATGAGCAAAGGTGGCACTAGTTCATATAGTACAACAACTACTGGAGCTGATACTTCTGGGGCCCACGATGCGATAGAAAACGTGGCAGGTACAACTGGAACTGATACTTCTGGGGCCCACGATGCGATAGAAAACGTGGCAGGTACAACTGGAACTGATACTTCTGGGGCCCACGATGCGATAGAAAACGTGGCTAGTGGTTCTGCGACTTGTGCTGTGGGGGAGAACAAAGATGGAGTTGTTATGGATGGATGAGGGAGCTAGTAGCTTCTCGTGGCCTAATGTGTTGAGAAACTGTAAAGTGTTGAGAAAGGATCAATTTAGTAACAAATGATAGGAGCAATTTATTACCTTCTGCTCTAATCTCTCCACGACCGAGGAGCAACATGATCCTGACACATCAACTACAAGAACAACGAGTAAACCGGGAGCTACAATGGAGCGTAATGCAGCACATCAACAGGCATCAAGCAGCCAGAATCCTCACAATCCACAGACCAATTATCCTTTATGTACTTCCTCTCCCGGACCACATTCGAAATCACCATGCACCTCTCACGGAGGCCCAAGAATACCAGGTTCTTCGAACATGACTGGGCCGACTGCTGCAGGAAGTAGTAAAGTCACCGACACAACCACAACACCGGCAGACAATGCGCCGTCTACTGCGACGTATTTTTAGATAGTAGACTGTAGACTAATGATCATGGAGGAGAATGACTAATCATGATGTAGAAGATGAAGATGTTTTTACTTGGATGGGATGCTGATCAGTAGAAGTACATAGTTGTTGAAACTTACGGAGGGGATTCCGGAGACTAGCTAGAGCTAGGAACTCTTGATATTTATCCTAAGAAATTTTGTAAAGTCCTCTGCCTCTCCATTCATGAGTCCTCTAAGAAAAACTGCAAACTACTCTAGGTCTTAGTCAAAATAGAAGATTCCATGGCACCAGCCATTCATCTACCACATCATCAACCCCACATCAGTGATGCCGGAGGACCTTCAGTACCACATCAGCAGTACAACAGTTAAGGCTTGAGGTAATCCATCTCCAGAAGCATCTTGGGACCTTCCTCTAAGGTCGAAAAGCAAGCCCACGATGACGCTCAAGATGGATTCCAGGAAGCTCTAAAAGAGTCTTGGATCAACGGCAGCTATTAGTAGTAAAGCTGCTATAGCGCATCCGCCATTGCAGAATTTTGAATTAACGCCTGAAGAATTGGACAGTTATATAGCTGCCTCTCGTACAGCAGACGAGAAGTTCAGAGAGTTCCTGAAGCGGACAGAGTCGACACCATGCTTTTCTCAAATCGAGAGGGAGGTGACACCTTTATGATGAATCATGGTTTTTCATGCAAGTCAAGGAAATAGATATGATAAGATATGATAGATATGATAGTCACGGCCACGGACACATCATGAAGGTGGAAATCATGTCACCTCAGTTCGTTGCACGTGAGATTCTAGTAATGGAAGAAGGCCAATGATCACACGTTTTTCTCCTCAACTTTCAGAATGGAGGTTCTTTTCTTTTTCATCTTCTAGCTCCATCCAGTCTAATCCCAGAATCCTTTGCAGCAGCCAGAAAAACTGTAGTCGAAAAGCGTCCTTTTGGCGGCTTCGCTATGCAGCTATTATACAGCAAGTACGTTCACTATCGGCGAAATTTGAAAAAGGCTGAAAACAAGTCACCATCTAGTAAAGCAGAGAACAAGGAGAAAAATATTGGGGCAGTTGCGTCGTCGTCTCCGACAGCCGCGGTAGCTTAATATAACTACAACTTGTAGTTGTATCTATGAATTCAATACGGTGCTCGACATGTCATTAAAAGCGATGGCGTTGCGTAAATAGGGATCATAGTGTTGCAATTCATCTTGCCGTTGCGTAAATAGGGATCATAGTGTTGCAATTGATCGCGATGGCGTTGCGTAAATAGGGATCATAGTGTTGCAATCGATCTTGCTGAAGATCTTGGTTCCCTTTTTTTTCCATCGTGCATTTCTCATTCTCATACTTACTCGCAACATACCTACTATATCACCATACTAGGCACAACCTGGCGGTGAGTTAAAGTTCGCTCTGCCATGGATTTTGCCTGGCCGGTTAGGGCGTTACTTGATCGAAGCAGAGTCCCTGACGAAGGAAGAAGGTCAACATCTCGCAAGACCCAGGACTCTACCAGGACCGAGCCCATATGAACAGCAGTACGTGATACCACCAGATAGCATTCGATGGGAAGATGATGGGGTACTACAGTTTAAGGGTAACTTTTTTTTGGAGATATTGACATTAGATATGAAGATGATGGGGTACTACAGTTTCAGGGTAACTTTTTTTGGACAGATATTGACATGATTAGATATGAAGATGGTGGGGTACAACTAGTACTGCAATCATAGGATTTTGAAGAGTCTTTGGAATTGCCTTCTTGGATTTCAGGATCTCTATATCAGGTACATGGCGCTTAGATTTTCATCCTTTTACTTTAAAGCATCCTTGATCGGATTTTCCGCTTCCTCAACATCAATCTTCAGCAACAATCTTGGCGATGGGATCCAAAGAAGGGTGCCTATGCTTTAGGCCGGAAGTTGCCGATCACAGACAAGCCAGTTCCAGCAGGCTACTGGTTTTCTCGAGACTGGCAACCCTCCTCGGGCGGCGGTCATTTGCCGCCGATTCACGAGAACGACGTGGCTGGAGGAGAAGGAGGGGATATTATAGGTTTAAGGGTGGACTTAATGCTCTGAAGATCTAGATATCAACATATGCTTCCGCTTTTGTCTCTTCGTCTCTTCATAGAATCACGATTGCTTTGCTTTTGTCTTTTCTCCCCGTTATAGACAATCACAATCCATTCCAAAGCAGTTGCTTGCAGACCTCTAACCACAACATCAGCCGATGGCTCTGCAGGAATCAACGTGATGGAAGCTGCGGCTTGGGTTGCCGCTGTCCAGCCGTTTCAGCACATGAACCCTTTTCAGCATATAAGCCAGCACGAACAGTGTGCGTATCTAGTGCAACGGCTCACAGATCTGGGCGCAGAACAGTTGTACCAGTGGGGACAGGGAAGAGATATTGTGGAATTAGTTATGATCGTGTGTCAGAAGTAAGAAGAGGACTTCGAAGAAGCAGTCCTGGGTTTTTTCAAGTAACGAAGTTGTTACTTTGTAACGAGTTGATATCCACTCACACACATCATACCCCTCACTAACTCATCCATAAGCTTCCAGCATGTCCATCATAGCTACTAGCTACTGCGGTTGATTACTCCGCATGACGGAAGAACTAGGAGAGATGACCGCACAATTCCTCCCTCTCCTCTAATCCTCAATTCCTGACCCTTACGAAAGAAGGCTTAGTCGATGCGCACATGCCATTAGCAGAGAGGGACGCGCTTTTGGACAGCAGAACCGAACAATTCGGGTTTAGGATGTTGGATCGATTTGAGGGCTCAGCGAATTTGAGGCAGATTAGGCAAACCTATCGGATACGAAACGTTGGGACGAATCCGCATGAGTACTCTGCTTGTTTCTTTGCTAATCCGCATGAGCACTCTATCTCTACTTGTTTCTTTGCTGAATATCATGATGTTGACTCATTTCTTGTTGTCAAATTTATAAGTATCAACGTATTCTCGATTTTTTCGCCTCATCATGTAAGTAACTGTCAACCTTTCCCATACGTTGAAGCTGTCCCTATCGTGTAAGTAGGAGCTGTCAACCTTTCCCACAGGTTGAAGCTGTTCCAGGACTTGGCTCTTAGCAATGCGGCAATCAAGGACTTAGTTAGACACATCAAGGAGGAGCAAACCAAGTCCGGTGCCCTTGTCCTTCGAAACCAAACGAGGATAACGACACGTCCGCACCTCATCGACGCTGTGCTGGAACAACGAAGTACCATGACCGCAGAGGAACTGTTTTTGGGGAAGGTAGTCTTTATCCATTTTTCAGGCGATGTCGAGGTCAGGAATTTGTACTAAGAGTTATATATTTATAGTTTCTCAACATCAAACAAATCGAAACCAGCACAAGCGTTCCACTGGAATTTCTTATTTTACAATTAATGAAACTTCCTCAACAGCTTCGCGCACTAGTGTCCGTTCATACTGCAGTGCATGTCCAAGAAATCGAGTCTGTTTGGGATGCTTTTTTTGTGCCTGCAGGCTACGAAAGTTTCGCGGAATCGTTGGAGGAGGTAACCTAGAGAATTCACTTTCACATCACTGGAAATTCATTCCTCTGGAATTTCATTCCTTTTTCTCTGGTAACGATTGATACCTCTCTACATCGCCTGACGCTAGACACATTCATTCATTCATACTTAGGGTGTGGATGTAGCTCCTTGTCCCCTTCCACTATTTCAGGCCAATCTCGTTGCGGATTCGGTTTGCTTAGTCGTCGAAAAAGAATTGAGCCGAGTGATGACGATGACGAGGGGGTACTTGGAAGAAATTCCAGACTCCACTACGTCTTTAGGCTGGGTCAAAGCGAATGTAGTTAGCTCATAGTTGTATGTAATAAACTTCCTTCTTCTAAAGAAAAACGCTGGTATTTTGATTATCACATGGAGATTGGTGATGCGCCGTTATTTGAGAATACTGATCATCGTCTCATCACTCTCTTTATGATAATTCTTTTTTGCTCTAATCATCGCCGACATCGAAGTTGGACGAGAAGGTGTCTGGGAAGTGCCGGCTCCTGTGTTGGTTCATCATGCTCCTGTACAACTAGTTTCCCCACCGTCGCACGTGGATTATTGGACTACGTCGCCGCCAGCTTTGCACTACAGCAACGAACTTGTAGCCATGTCGTCGGGAACAGAAGTTGAGGTGGGAGTAGAAATGGTTTAAAATAGAGATGGTTTGATATGATCATGTGATCGTTTGATATCATGTTGTCGTGGCTACTCGTTTAGGAGGAGGGACCAGGGACCCTGCAGCTTGTACTTAGTTGAGATGAATATTTAGAGACGACGCGTACCATGGCGGGGGTCTCTATCTCGTTCTGGAGGTTGATTTTTTTTTGTGGTCTCAGACAGTTTCTCATGGAGGTGATACTAGGAAGATTGTTCATATGCAGGTACGACCTCTATCCACATCACACGGGTCATTCTTGTTCTTCAAACGTCCCAGTCTTATAGTTTTCAACAGTAGGTACCTGATGCTTACGTTTGACTTTTCATATTTCATCATCTGTGCATTCTTTCGTATTACAGTTAGTGTTTGTGTAAAGAACAAAATGCAAGTGCGCCACGTGGGCACACTGCTTTTGCTGAACAGATTCGACGTGAACTTGTTTCGTTTCCATTTTTCCTTGTTCCTCAATCGATATCACCATCTTGTGATTTTCGCGTAGGGAGTTGTCAACAAGAACAGTGTTCTAATCCTTTCAGATTTTGCTTTCTTTGTTTCGGTTCAGCAACGTTAGTTAAGTAGATTTTTCATCAGTTTTTGCTTCATTTGACTTTGTTTCGATTCACCCAGATTCTGGGTACGTGTTTTAATTTTCGTGTTTTGATGTCACTGATTTTTGTGACGATAGTGAACAATAGTCGGTGTTTTTTCTTGTTATGTTTTGCTCTTGACTCATTCATACTTTTCTGATGACAAGAACGAGCAAGTTGCGACTAGTTATTTCTGAACAACGATTTAATAGATTGCAGTGGGTGTATTTGATGTCCTAGAAAATAGATTTTGATCGTGTGGTTGGGTGGGGTTTCTTTTCGCTTTGATTATTTTTTACGTCATACTTCACTCTCATACGTAATGACCCCCTGGATTTATCATAGTCCAACTGCAGAATTATGCGATTAGAATCAATTGGCTTTGTCTTTGTCATGGGTAAGTACTCTTTCCTACGTGCGCGTATAGTGTGTTATTCCCTTTTTTCGTTCAAGGTGCAAGCACAGTGAAGGTTTCAGTCTGATCCATTTTTTTTTTGTTCCCACAAACAAATCTCAAAAAAAATGAGACCTCACTAGAAACCCCAGCAGATGGAAGCTACAACTCTCTCTGGGTTCGTCTAGTCTGGACCGGGGTCCTCTCCTCTTGATGGTGTACAGCTTTTGTGGTTTTTGCGAGGATGGAACCTTCGTCTGATTGTGTGCTGATGTGACAGCCAGCCTGGTGGCTTCTGTTCATTCCGAGTGATCAACTACAGTGAGCACATGGGTGAGGAAGTTCTTCGTTCTCGTGCACTAAACGTATATACGAAGCACAGACTTCTGGTAGAGGAACGAACACCAGTTATGAGAGAGGAGACGAGAGTCACTTGTTCCTACATGTTGTTCTACTTGTGTAAAGAAATTATGTTAAATTTTTCCGAGCCCGATTACTCGAAAACTGAAAATACCCGAGTTAGTGACTGAAATAAGGGCTACTCTTGCTTGCGTCACTATCTCGATTTTTCTTCATTTTGCTGAGTACAACTAGCAATACTTACTACCATACAAAAAAAGTCAGCGAAAAAATGGCTTCTTCGTCCTCGTCCTCTGGTATCCGGACTGCCGGATACATGCTACTGAACTTTTCAGTGTCAGTATTGATCATTTGGGTCAATAAATTTGCATACCAAACCGGTTTCCGATGGAATATCAGTATGACGGCCATTCACTTCCTATTTACCTACGTGGGCCTGGCGATTAGCGCTAGGTAAATAGTAGTGGTAGTCGGGTGGGAAGATTGACATTGCTGTTGATAGATGATTCTTTCAGAATCTTGTTCTGCATTATTTTCCTCTTCATCCTATGCTTATCAACTCTCCACATGCAAATGAAAATTTCCAGGTTTTTCGGATTATTCGAACCAGTTTCATTACCAGTTGCAAAAGTCGCGCCAATATGTGCAGCTTTCTGTGGCTTCGTTATTTTCAACAATTATGGCGAATTACCTACTAGTTTTGAGCTGCAGAAGATTCCTCCTCACAAGATGATTAGAACTACTCGTTCCCCTACTACAAGTGCTAAACACGCACTGGAGTGGAATTATGCCTCTAATATTAAGTAATTAAGTTACTTGCAGCTGTTGCTTTCCTCTGATGTCCTTGTCCTCTTTCATTCTTCCCTGTCCCTCCAGTACAACCCAGTGGGCGTGTATCAGTTGCTGAAAGTGCTGACGACGCCAGTGATAGTGCTCTTGCAGTACGCCAAGGATCCACTCCCGACTGAGCAGCTTCTGGCCCTTATCCCCACCTGTATTGGTGTCGTTCTAGCCACAGTTACCCATCTTGAATTAAGGCTTTTTTACTACTACTTAAATTCATTCGATGGATTGCTTACAAGAATGAAGAGTGAGGTGAGTGTTGTGTCTTTGACGATGATGGCCCCTTTGCTTGTTTTATATGGGAAGGAGAACATACAACCCGTGGTCGTGAAAGAAGATGGGACGGATGTTTCTTGTTCTAGAAGATGAGAATATGCATATTTGTGACGAAGTCTTCTAAGCGAAGCAAATTTTCTTGGCGGAGTATTTGGTACTCTTGGTATTATCTCGACCAGTTACTACCAAATGTGGGTGAAAAGCGAGCAAAGCCGTCTCGCAGTGTCGCCACCACAGTTGCTCTATAACCAAAGTTTTTGGAGCTTCTGGCTACTGCTAGTTTTAAGGCGACCAAGAGGGGAGCATCCTGACGAGGAGGACCTTTCTTTGACGCCTGTTTTTCAAGGCTTGAAAAAGAAATGTCCCAGGATTTTGCTCGTGAGCAAGATGCGAGCCGATAGCTCTAACAGTGATATCACCAATGTTAGAAGACGTGTTTCCGTTTCAGAGCAACGACGCTTTGTTTCACCTCTACTGGGCTGCGCCAAGTGTGGTAGCGGGAGTCCTAGGTTCCGCATTTCTGGCGTTTTTGGTAAACCTAAGTATCTTCTTAGTCATCGGCAAGACAGACCCTGTCAGCTACAACGTACTTGGCCACGCGAAACTCTGCTGCATACTGGTGTCGGGATATTATGGATGGTTACAATATAACTTTGTGAGGACTCAGAAGTTTTTCAGTACACAGTGAATCTGAATCCTAATTGTTCTTCAGATCTCTCTCGCTCTCTCTCTCCCTTCTAATGAACCGTACTCTTTGGGGAGGTCGCGACGTGGAAAAATTTACTTGGTGTGTGTCTCGCAGTATGCGGTATTGTCACATATACGCACCTCAAAATCATGGGCTCACAAGGAGCAACGGCAAAAAGAGATTCGACGTCAAAGAAGGAATCATAGCACTTTCAGTTCTGAAAAAACATCTGGGAAGGCAAGAGGTGTAGCTACTAGGTCTAGAGTGAAATGGAGTCGTATGAGACGAGCTTCTAAAGACTCTCTATTCTCTAACAAATATTGATGACTTCAGTACACTTATAACTGTTACCAGCAACTGTTCGTCCGCTCATTGTGCATAGAAGATGTTGAGTTCTTTCGTAAAGGTGATGACATTGTCTGGAATCACACTCATAAAGCGTGGTCATGGAACTAGCACAAGCACTCTAGCGCAAGCACTCCTGATCCGACGCTTCAATTTAACTGCAGCGTTGTTGAAGGAGGTTCATCTATCTTATACTATAGTGTTCTACAAATTTGGTTTATTGATCATGATTCTCCATCTTAACCTTTATGGATCATTCTCAAGATCAGGGTAGATTCGGATCCAGCGACTATTTTTTATGTGGTGTACTTACTGATATAATCCGAAAAAATGGACTTAGACCATCAAACGACTCCTGATTTATCAACTGGTTGACGCAGCTGATCTCAAAAGAACATGCAGGTTAGAAGAAGATCCCTGTTAAGTCGGATCTTGCTCGTTAGAAGAAGATCCTTGTTGATAGAAGATCCTTGTTGATAGAAGATCCTTGTTGATAGAAGATGCTCGTTAGAAGAAGATCCTTGTTGATAGAAGATCCTTCTTGATAAATCTGGAGGGGCCGTGGGGGAGATGCCCTACTTGAAGCACTGCACGAATTCAATCTATGAACAAGATGGTCCTCCAGTGCCCTTCTTCCGTGTCGGGCACTGGAGGACCATCTTGTTCATAGATTGCGCCAGCTTTTAACATAGTCGGTTTTTTCTATAGTACAATTGAATGTGTATGTCGTGGGAGTTTTTTCCATCATTACAACTATCGAGTAACAAGTTGAATAAGATGAAGATTCTTAGAAGCAGGAGTGACGAGGTGGTTTGTAGGTGGATAGGTGAGATTGAGTACCACCAGATTTTTCTCTGTAGAAGTCAACTCGTACCCCATTTTAGATTTCAAAAACAAAGTGTCTCCATACATACTGTTCAAGTTCTCGTCCTGAGCAAGAAGATTCTGTCAACGTCATCTATTTCATCTTGAAAAGTCACTGACTCATAGTTTCTCCTTCTTGCTCTCGTAAAAATGGGCAAAAGTGCGAAGTTCATGCGCGTGGCAGCGCACGAGAAGCAGAAGCGAGTCCTAAAAGGCAAAGAGTGGCGCGACTCGGGTCACAAACAAGCACGACTAGAAGCGAAACAAAACAAGAGAAGGGATCGAAGAGATGCAGCCAGCCTACTTTTCGGCACTGGCGGACCGTCGAATGATGAAGACTCAGCAGGTGGAAGAAGTAGTTTGGCATCTGCGGCGGCGAATAGGGGGAGTGCGACGACAGGTAGTGACTTTGATATTGATTCAAGTAATAGACTTGCTTCGATAAGGTACTTATGTTTTTTTTTTACCGTACAAAACAAAGTGAATTTCAAATGGGTCGTGTTGATTGATGGTTGATATTAATAGGTACTCTTAATTCATCATGACAAGGATGTTCCAGTTTCCTACTTCCAATCAACACAGCTTTGCCTTTCAATGGTGACTTGGCAGCGAAGCTTAGGGCAAACTATGATGCACCGTCAAAGCCAGAAGGTGAGAAAAAGAAGGGCATAAAACCAAAGAAAGTAAAGATGGGGAAAATAAAACTGAAACAAGCCTAAAGAGTGAGCATGAAAACTGTGATGATACTCGCAGAGGCTCCTCACGACATAAAAATCTAAGATGATCTATAGTACCTTTTCCGAACAAAATAAAAATCGAGGCCCTTGGTCTAAAACTGATCATGATCTCATACCCCGAAAGTGCAAGCTGGACCTCCACTTACAACTTTTATCAATCTACGCGGTAATTGATTCAAACTCTACACAATTGAGAAGAAAGTGTTCACGCGAGTCATCACTAAGAAAACGAGCGATTGAGAAAAAAAAATCTTTCTGCCTTTTACGAGAGTGGCCCTGAAAGTCTGTAGATTCATTTGAGAGCATGAGCATCAGGATATCAGGGAGATTGCGGACTTGTGGAATTTGAGAGAACATCTAATTGCTTGTTCGACGTGTGATGGTTTTTATACATCTGTCAACACGAGGAGGAGACCTTTTATTACTAAGTCGTGGGGAAATCACTCGAAACGGACTTTTTTTCTTCATCTCTGATCGTGACCAGAGGCCTCTATCTCGTGCGTGCTCTAATTGTGCTCCCCTCGCACTGAGGTCAGCAGTCAGCTGCGCGGTGCTCCTCTCCTCCTGCTGTTGCTGTGTTCTCCGTCGGCTGCTTCTCCTGAACATTCATAACCAAGTCGGGGGGAAATTATTCGAAGCGGGCTTTTTTCTTTGTCTCTGATTGCAGCCTCTGAGTGCGCAGAATCTACAGGATTTGCCCACTCACTCTCGTTTTTTTGCAGACCATTTTTTCCTCTGCCTCGAGTTGTTCTAACAACTTTGGATTATTCCATTGCGGATTTTCATTTTCTTGTCTGGTCAATAAAGTAAATTAGTATAGTAAATCGTTTGGACGCGCAACACCGAACATCATATTCAAAAAAGTCTCTACCCAAAAAAAACGTAGGACAATCAGAAAACTGAGCTTCATACTCAGCATAGTAGAGTCAGTCTTCAAGTAAATAAAAACTACTCCTAGTCCTTACAGACTTTCATCAGTTCTTAGACTTTCCTCACAGTGGTCACAAACACAACTTCATCTAACATCTAACAGTCTCCAAAACAAAAAACAAAAGAGATGCCGCCAAGACTGAACCGAGCCAACAGCCAGTCCATTGAGGGCCCGGCTGTGTTGCAACGTCTCTCGACTGTTGAAGATGACGTCCTCAACTCCCGTAACCATGCTGGTGGTGAAGGTTCGGTTGGACACAAGACGCAACAAGGGTATTTTAATATATTATGTATAACCCTCATGATCTAGTTGGACGACCAAATATTGTTATTTTCAGATCTTCAGAGTATCATCCATCTACAACAAACAAGAGTCAAAAAGGACTGACTTCTGGAGATCGCATCTGCAAAAATGTCGTGGAAAAAGGCAGGAAGAGTGAAGTAGCTGAAGTAGAACTACCTGCTAATTTTAAGTCTTCCATACCTCGCGAACGGGTACGTACACTACTACGACCACTATCACCTCAGCAACTTCGTCTACATCACATGATCCCTCCCTCCTAAAACATCGGACACATCCCTTCCTCCTGAAACATCTGAAACTTGTGCAACACCACGAGGACCTCTAAACCCTGTCATATAACGCATTCCATTGCACCAGGTGCAGCCCAGTCGGTTGCTTCGAGGGTTTAATCGGGGGCGGTGAGGTCCACGATGACGGTGAAGTCGATGTTGTCCTGGTAGGTGGCGGTATTATGTCCGCGACTGTTGGCGTCCTTTTGCAGCAATTGGAACCCACTTGGAAGATCCGCCTCTTCGAGCGTCTCTCGCAGTGCGGTGAGGAAGCTAGCAACGGGTATACTTACTTTGTGATGTGAAAGAAATCAGTGATTATAAAAATCAATAGACTTGCACGACTGGCACTTGATGTAGGGTCGTAAGATTACTTTCGACATGGAGGTCTTGATGTTGTTTTATTAGGTTCACCCGTCATCGTGAGAATGGATAGATGCTGTATGATGATTCCTCGGGAAGTACCAACATTAGATGAGGATCAATCACGACTATTAAATCACGTCAGTTGGAACAATGCTGGTACTGGTCACGCTGCTCTCTGCGAGTTGAACTACACTCCAGAAGTGAAAGGCGAAATCCAAATTGACAAGGCGATCGCCATCAACGAAAAATTCCAAGTCAGCCGACAGTGGTGGGCTTGGCTTGTGGTAATGAGAACTTAACTTCTTGCTCATGCTCTTCGTGAAACTAGAATTTAAGTTCTTTGTACAGAACTTAGAACTATTTCTTGTTCATGACTAGGTGATGATCGAAAGCCATTCTGTGATAGAGTAGCATTTCGACGACACCTGCATTTCGACCCACTCACTCAGACTCAAGGCTTGTTGTCGAGCGACACTTCTACGTTCATCAACAACACACCGCATATGACCTTTGTTCATGGCGAGAAGAACGTCGATTACTTGCGACGCCGTTTTAACTTGTTGAAGCAAGAGCCTCTCTTCTTAAGGCTTCCTCTAAAAGAAATCCCTCCGTCTTCAGTTTCAGAAGCATCTTGAAGCTATCCTCCCATTTAAGGGAAAGGAAGCACATCAAGATGCGTCTCACGATGGACGATATTAGAGTTGAAGGTGAAGATCTCACTCTAATTTTCAAGGACATGGCCTACTCCGAAGACACCCGACAGATCCGTGCATGGGCACCGCTGTTGTACTCCGGCCGCACAGACAACCAGCCGATTGCATGCACGTACGTCGAGAAGGGAACAGACGTCGACTATGGTCAATTGACGAAGCAACTGGTTACCGGTTTCGTGCGCTCTGGTGGTCAAGTTCGCATGAACCACGAGATCTCCTCGATCTCGCAGCTCGATAACAAGCAGTGGGAGGTATAACTATAATATGACTTTACAAACAAAGTAGTCGTTCTTATAACAGAAAGAAAAGAAATTTTTCTTCTACAAACAACACCTCCAGCATGAACAGATTGTATCCTCTGCAAACTATTTGACAACTCATCAACAAACAGGTCGTCGTCTACAAACGTGATTTGTCTGCGACTCGTTTGTCGAAGGTCCGCGCCAAGTTTGTCTTCGTCGGAGCGGGCGGTGCGACTCTGCAAGTTTTGCAGAAGACTGGTATTCCTGAAATTCGTGGCTTCGGTGGGTTCCCGATCAGTGGTGAATTCTTGGTGTGCCAGTTATGATTGAGGGTTGCATGATTTGATCTACTGTCATGTTTGTTTTAGCCATAGTACTTCTAGCCAGTCTACTCGGGACAATCCGAATCGACTAACAGTATCATTCTTTCTCGGGACAGTCAATGAAGAGAACGTCACTAAGTAGAAGTTGTTTGATTATCAGGTTAGAACCTGTACCTGAATCTTACAGCTAGTTTGTACTTCTCCTTCTACTCCTGATAAACTTTTACTTAGTGACGTTCTCTTCATCCTCAACCCTCCCACAACTCCGAGGAGCCTCGTCCCCTCCATCTGCCTCTTCTAATCCTCAACCCGGACATCGTCAAAGCCCACCCAGCCAAGATCTACGGAAAGGCAGCTGTCGGCGCTCCGCCAATGTCCGTTCCACACTTGGACGCTCGCATTATTGACGGAAAGCCAATGGTTCTCTTTGGACCCTATGCAGGATTCTCGCCGAAGTACTATACATAGATTTTATAGTTTTTCTTTAAGTTTAAGATGATGTTGAGCTTTTTTCTTCAGGAGCGGCAGACCCAAAGTACTTAGTTTCCTTCAGTGATCGGCATGTTGCTTGCACAGCAACATCTTGAAGATTTCATGTTATCCATTTTCATCCAATCTACGGTAGTACTCCTAGTAGGTGGTACAAGAAAATGTCACAGTGAGAAGGACCACCATACAAACATCCATCCTCCAACTGCACCAGGTACCTCAAGTCCGGTTCCATGACTGATATGTTCTCGACTTTGCGTCCGCACAACATTATTCCGATGGCCGCGGCAGGATTGCAAAACTTGGATTTGACCGTGTATTTGATCAAAGAGCTCATGGCTTCCAAGGAAAAGAAGCTCGAGGCGTTGAAGGAATTCATCCCGGACGCTAAGCCGGAGGATTGGACAGTACTACTAATCATGTTCTTGCTGGTTCTGTTCTTGAGATTGTCGTGCTGTTGTCTTCAGAGCTTTGACGAGGATGGTTTGCATTTTTCGTTGCAAAAATCTGTCTTCGTATCTTCTTTGGTTAAGTAGTCCCTAACCCTATTGACAACAAATGATAATGATATCAGTCTCCGGGTACGGTCTAGTTAGAAGATGTTCTCATTTCTGTTTCTCCTCACTTTCACTCGCTACTTGACCTGCCTTTATTCTCTACAGATCTGCACCGCTGGCCAGCGTGTCCAGATTATGAAGTCTGATCCGAAAAAGATTGGCATCCTCCAGTTTGGTACCGAAGTCGTTTCTTCCGCTGATGGCACGATCGCGGGTCTCTTGGGCGCCTCTCCTGGTGCTTCTGTCTCTGTCCAAGTCGCAGTTGACGTCTTGCTTGGTTGCTTCCAGGACCGTGTGGCCGCTTGGACACCGAAGTTCAAGCAAATGATTCCGAGTTTTGGAACGGAGATGAGCAGCAACCCAGCCATGGCAGCGAAGATCATGGAAGCTAACGCTAGAATCCTGAAGATCTAAGGAAGTCCTAGGACTTTAGAGATACTTACCTGATGAATATGAGAACCCAGAGACTCGATTCAAGTTTAATCACATGAATGGAAATAATGGTTTCAGAGGACTAAGTCTCAAGAAAGCAAGGCTTATACTACATACTTGTAGTTGTACCTCCTAATCTCAAGCTCGTTTTTGCTAACTACAACTAGATGATCACATGCGTCGACGTGTGCGATTGTTTCTGTAACGACTAGATAGAGTTCCTAAATGAGATCAAGAAAGTGAACAAACATAGACCTCGGAAGTAGATCTTAGAGCCAGAAGGGATAGAGCTCTCTAAAAATTTTCCCGCGGTGAAAATGGTGGTATCACATGCATGAATCATCAGGTCGTCATGTAGTGATAGAAAGTAATGGTCTATTAAAGTCTTATGGAAGTTCTAAGTCGAATATAGAATCATCAATTTTTTCAGTAAATGAAAGATAACGAAATGCTTTTTCTTTTACATCAAATAAAATGTTCGGTAATTATACATACACATGATATAGTCGGAGTTCTTGTAGGATTTAAGTAACATCAACAAATATTCTTGGTCAACAAAAAATCTAGTAGAAAACTGAAAATAAGCGAGTTACTGACTGAAATAAAAGAGTCTTGACTATTATGTTTATTCCAGTACCTTGCTTATTTTAAGTAGTTACTCGGTTATTTCAGTTTTTCGAATAGTAGAAAAGCTAAAAACACTGAGTCATACAAGGTCAAGAATCATCGAGAATTATGGGTAGAGAAAATTAATGCTACTGCTGGTTGAAGTACTTCTTAGGTAGAGTACGTAGGAGATTTTTTGTGTTGTACTTCTAAGATATTTTTGCAGCATTCGCCTTCGTGGCGACGAAGAAACAAACTCGCATGAACAGGGTCATATAGTGAGGAACGAACAACATGTATGGCTGAAAAAATCAACGAAGATAAATGATTGCTAGAGCAGATGGCCGGTTGGCTATGGAAGCTGGCGGTCGCCATCTTTCAGCCTTCCCATTGTTGAATCCACGAGAGGAAGAAGGAAGTGAAGTAGAAGCTAAATCACTTTCCAAAGGAGAAAAGGTAAAACTGTGGATGGCGGATCAAATCCTATCCTACCCTAAGAAAAGAAATTGTGAAGGGTCGTGTCAAGGATTGCACAAACGTAATGCTTTTAGGAGCACAGACACAAGACAGGCCACAGGCCTGAGCAGAACAAGAATAGTGAAAATCCGCATAGATCGTACACCTTGAACGACTAACACCATGTCGTCTACTACGAGCTTGCAGAGAATAAAGCATCTGCTTCTCTCTGGAGCGGTCTTCGGTCTCACTGCAGTTTTCAGTGGGGAACTCGCTTTCTCTACCAAGATTGAATCTGTGGCAGCAAGTACTCTGGATCAACAACAACAACCAACGCAAACAATCGCTGTCGTTGCTGGTGCAACCGGACGCACTGGCGCTCTTACTTATAAATCCCTTGTTGAAAGTACTCAGGGGAAAACCAGTGTCCGCGCCATAGTACGCAACGCCGACAAAGCCAGAAAGGTGCTTGGCTGTACTACCTGTGACGAACGTGATGGAATTTTCGTTGTGGATATTGCGTCTGCGGAGGAGGCTAATCTCAGAGCCTTGGATCGAGCCATGGTAGATGCGACTTCACTAATCATAGCAACGTCTGCATCTCCGCAGTGTCCTCATGTGGGAAGTGGTCAAGATCGCGAGGATCAAGCACAATCGTCGGGGAGCGTTGTTCTAGGCTACTAAGAACACTTACTTATATTTATTATCCATAATGAGATCTCATGAGATGAAGACAGGGGAAAAAATGCAAAGGAGGAGCAAGATCAACAAGGAATGTTACGACCTCTAACCTCGTCCACATAGTCCAGCATCGCACAATCCATCCCACAGCCCCTTCCGTCCAGAGGATTGTACTTATCCACCTGGCCAGTTCCCCAAGGATGTGGATTGGGATGGAGGTCGTCGTTTAGTGAACGCCTTTGCAAAAGCTGGAGGACGCGGGGTCGTCCTCATTTCCGCGAGAGGGACTACGGAACCTAGGTCTTTTTTAGACCGGATGGGCCCTGATGGATACATCAGTTTCTACAAACTGAACTTGGATTATGAGATGGAAAGGTTAAGAACTTTAGGCTCAAACTATGAAGATAATGCTATTCAACAAAGAAGGTTTGCCGTTGCGCTTTTATTTGAGCACGTGTCTCTCTCTCTCTCTCTCAAAAGCCACTTTGATGACAAGTACCGCACTAGTCAAGAGTTATCATCATCTACATCTTCTTCTAATCCGAAGCGTTCGTTGCAGCAGCCGGCCTAGATTCTTTCGTCATCCTGAAGTCATGTGGGTTGGTGGATGGACCTGTATCTCAGAATGAAAGAGACCAAAAAAATACCACTGCTTCCACTTCTTTCGTCGTGGGCCACGATGATGAAGAAGCAGAAAATCCTTATCGCGTGATGCTCAGAAGCGACTTGGCAGCACTGACCGCCTACAGCAGTAGCAAGAGGTCTCTTTTGGATTTGCGATTTGACATATGCGCTTCTGAGCGTGCGGAAATTCGACCATCAAAAAAGCAGTTGGCAGACGTCTTGCGTCAAGCAAGGAGACCCTGGAACAACAATACAGGAAAGTCTTCACAATATGATGTCAATGGGGAGATCTTTACATAAAAATCGTATTCGCATATAAAAGACTCGTATTGATGCGTTCGGGTACAGTCCTACTTTGGAATACAGAAACTGCATGTCTTCTCTTGCATACAAACTAAGCACGAAATCATATTAATGAAATGCAAGAAACAAGAAACAGAGACTACAACAAGTTCATCGCCTGAAACTTTCACGTTGAGAAATTACTTTGTGTTTTCCACAATTTGGTGTGCGTGTGCCCTACAACGATGAACTTTTTCGATGCACCATGTGTAAGCATGCTCACCGAGGACAGTCTATCCTCAACACGAATAGAAGATTTCTAAACGTGAAAGCAGCTATTTTCTGAGAGATCCACTCTCATGATATCATGGCCCATTGTACGGCATTCGTTCCTTCGGTCATCAAGGTCTCAAACAAGTATCCACCTTTGATGATGCACAAGCTCTTCAAGACGTTCCGATGTGATGATGTTGGAGATGGAAAAATATACAAGGGAGACCGATCGTGACTATTTTATTAACTTCAACAAAGTACACTATTAGAGAATCATTTCTAATAACTTAAACAAAGGAATATCAAAGCTCCGTCCTGTCCTCTGACAGTGCAAGATGTTGATGACGTAAATCGGTTCAAATCTTCTACGTAAAGAGCATATAATAGTTTTGACGAGCAGGCGTTAATTGTCACTACTGTACCTGTTTCTACTGCATTCCACTTTCTTAAACATAAACAATTGTTCTCATTACACTTTTGTACACATCAGAAATTGCAGCCATAAAGTTTAAGTTCTAACAAAATTTCCAAACAACAAGATGACGTCGTTGTCTCCGAACAAAACCAAGAAGATGAAGAGGCTGAGAGAAATCTTCTTGGTCTCTGCCGCCACTTTGGTCGATTTTGGATGGAGTTTGAAGTCAAGTTTTTTCGGCAGTGCTCCTGATTCAGGACTACGTAGAACGGCTCAGGGAAGACCTGTCGTGCAAGGACGAGGACCACAAGGGCAAGGACAGGGATGGGGTGGGTGGAGCGGACAACCCGACCCCCGGCTCCAAAGTTCTGCTCCTTCTCCTGCCTTCGTCGCTGCGGCACCTCCGCAGAGAAATATGTTGGCGCAGACCACTGGTGCACCTTCTGCTCGTGGTGCAGCATCACAAGATTCTTCCTCTCCTTCTTCTACTGGTCGTTCGTCTGCTTCGGACGCTGAAGGAGCATGTTGTCAGCCTTTGTGCGAGGCAACACAGTGCGAAAAGAAGAACTGCTGTGAGTGGATTCTGGAGTATCCCAGCTGCGCTGAGTGTTATGAGTGTAGGAATAAATGCATCTCACCAGAAACATCTTGGACCTCCCGTGTGAGAGGGAAAACAAATATGAAGGAAAAATAACCCAGATAATCTGTGAGATGCGTTCCCTATTATACCTCTAAGAGTGGGCTGAAGCTGTCTCCCCAGGTAATTGCAACCTGATGCAAGGTAAGTTCGCACCAAGACCTTGTGGCGATCAAGATACCGAGCAGCCTCCATTGCTAAATCCCTGGGGTCACTCGGTGTTAGGCCACGGACCTAGACGAAGAAGGGGAGAGGACGAAAGCCCAGGAGCATCGGGAGAAGAATCCACAACAAGTGGTGGATCTTCTTCCATTAGGAGTCGTTCGTCCACCGTTAAGGCTGTGGCTTGTAACAATTAAGTAATCTTCTTCACGACCAGCACGACCACTTCCACTACCACAGAGTTCTCTGAGAACTTCGTGTCGAAGTTTCCTTCTCGGATTGATTCTCAGACTGACTATGAACTACGTATACTATAAGTAATCGTAACTAATGTATGATGAATTCTAGGATTAGAATGGTAGGTAGACTCATGCAGCTCGTACTTTCCGGCTCGTTTCTCTTTCTTCTCACGCTTTCCTCGTTATTGTTAGCGCATCTAAGTCCATCAGATCTCGGGAACAGCATAATAGCAGTTGCTTATGGGACGAGTGGGACTGGGAGGACGTGCCAGGATGCCACTACCACGGGTGCGGTTTGTGCGGTGGCCGCTATTGTTGTGGTGCCTACCATCCTTATGATGATGACCTTTGTTTATTAGGTCTAATATTTTTAGATTGTCATTGTCTTATTTTTAACGTTCTTTCACCACATGATTCAAAAATTGCGGCTCATCCGCTTTTTTCATCTCGGTTCTCACCACCACTGCTACCACTACCACTGCTACCATCACCAACATCACCATCACGACCTTCGCCACCATCCGCTTTTTCTAATTCTAGCACGCTTCGGACGAAGACAAGGAATACTCCAAGGGATTTCTTGGGACGTTTCACACTGGAAGTTGTCTTGCCAACGCTTGCGGTGGCGTGGGAGCCTGTTGTCCCAGCAAAGGAGGTTTCATCCAGGACACCTGCCTCAGCCTCCCTCGATTTAGACAGGATCATGCATTTCCAGACGCTCTTCCTCATGGCATCAACATCAATCAAGAAGATATTGAAAGAGGTAATTAGAAGTACCTATAGAGTTGTAATATCAGAAGATCATAGTACAACGACTAGATACAACGAGGATCCCTAGTACTTGAAGCCGCAGTAGGCACTCATATACCATAGTTGTGCATTAGAGTATAGTCTTCATACTGATGACCCAGGAGGTACAACTTCTGTGTAATTACATCAGATCCATTTGCAAAATAAACCCTCAAGGTGCAGCTGCTACTGCTCTTCAACGAGCTCCTCGTGGTCCTCAAAGTCAAGGCTACGATCAGTTGGCACCCATGGTGGATGGTGCTCGTCAGGGGACAAATGAAACACCACTCCAAGCAGCCTTGAGAGTGAGCCAGGTGACATACACTAACCGAGTCAACGCATTATACCAAATATGGAGCACCTCTCCATCCTTGAGCTGTAAAAGCTTCTTCTGGTGGTTGGCATCCCCCGTTTTGGCCGCAGTCGGCCTGACTACCTCTGTGGCGATACTCGCGCCCTTCTTTGTCGTCTCTACTCTTGTGATAGATTATGGCTCAATACAATCCTTCGTTTGTAGTATCGGCTCTTTTCCTTAGTTTCCTTCTTGGGAATCCGAAGAGATCATGAACGCAAGAGATGAAATGTTTTCCGCTCTAAATAGACCCCGTCTATGGAGTCATTGAGGGCTCGTGCAAGGGCGTATACAACACGTGTGCGAGAGATCAATACATGGAAAGGGAATCGCAGCACGAACCCATAGTTGACGAGGAAGCATGGCTCCAGGTCACGAGTGGAGGTAGAGGTACTGCAAAGCTATAATATATTTCTACTATATTTCTTGTCTTTGTCAGCCTCGCCCTACAGCTTACTAGTGATGATTAAGTACGTAGTGCCAGTCCTCTATTTTTAATGGGCTACTGCTATCAGGAGCGACAAGAATCAGACTAGTGCATACATGACATGAAATTCTTTGACCGCTACAACGTCACTCAAACTCGTCAAAACAGGTTGTTCTACAATAGCTACAAACTCAAATCGCGGAAACTCAAAATTCGAATTCCCACAAAAGGTTCTTCTAGTACGCATAGGACACAACAAGAAAGCGAGGAAGATGTGGAGGATTTGCGTGTCGTTGGCAATGTAGAGATGCTGAGATGGATCAAATTCCAACGCGAGCTGCGATGGCTTGCTCACCATGCGGCCCCGCAGGAGATGTGGAAACTAGAAGAGATACCACGATCTGGCGGAATGCTCACTATGAGCTCCTTATGGCTCAAGATTTGATATTGATCCTTGTTCATTTAAAACAACCGGTTAGTTTTTACCTCTGTCGCGTAGATGTATCCCTTCAAGCAAGATATTGCTCAGTCATCTCAACAAAAGACGAATCAGTGTCTCAGTTCCTCCTTGTGCGAAACCCCATAATTATTTGTGTACGAGCTTTCACAGCTCGCTGTAAAGAGAAGACGCGTAGTCTTCACTAATGACAATAAGTGTCTCGGTTCCTCCTTGGACGAGTCCTCTGAGGCAATTGGTCAAGTGTCTCAGTTCCATCTTGGAATCGGAAACACTGAGTCTAAAGGATTAAGTATCTCAGGTATCGTTCTTCTTGGAATCCCACAGAAGATTATTAACGCTCTCAGTTCTTTCTCCTTGGAATCAATCTGAGGCTGCAAGTGAGTGTCAAGGATCGTTGAATCATATTGAGCTTCTTGGCATCAATCTGAGGCCATGAGTCTTCACTTGTATATGGTGACTATGAGTCTTGTTCACGGTGAACTACTTCGAGGTCGAGCTCTAATGTACAATCCACGCATGGGCGGTAAACAGTACGCACTTTCACCAGCGTGGCTCTTGGAGAACGGGAATTTCGCCCCAGCAAAAACTGACCCGACCCAACAAGATGGAGGGCAGTCGCTGATCTTAAGGCTCATATTTTTACTAGTTGATCTGATCTTCGCATGATAGGTTGTAGTAAGCATTTAAATCAGAAGTTTCTTTCTTGGATTCTTTCTGGGTAGAATGTAGTTATGGCGAACCTTGTTAGGTAATGGAAAATGAAATATTGCGAGGTCTAATTCTCGGTAGATTCGCTAGTGCATTTCAAGCTGCGATGGCAGGTGCTGATGCTTCCTCCGCTGCGCAGCAAAGGCCTTCAGGTGCTCGCGCTGACCTCCAAGCGCAACTAAGAGATGAACAAGCGACGCAAAATTTTTACCGCCCTGAGATTTTTCTGAAATCAGTCTATCCATCCAGTGCTGCAGGTGGGTATGGTCGCGGCAGCCCTGGTGGCTCGATTTTTTCCATGCCACGAATGAAGCTCTTGCACGAAGCCGGCAATAGCAAAACAGAAGGGCCCTGGATGACCCGGCTGACAGATCTCCGATTCAAGCGCATCGAACGACTGAATGATGCTGCACTGTGTTATGGGCATGACGGTTTTGAATGTTTGTCAACAATTAATTTGTTGTGCTAGTTTATCAAACTAATAGTCACCATGGTATTTAATTCATTGTGTTTGCGAGTAAGTGTGAATATTTTCAAGTGCTGACTACAGGTTGGACTGCAAGTTCAAAAGCTGACCAAGGGAAAGTTTTTAAGACTTCAATTTATTGGCTAAGTAACGACTTGTTCATGTTAAATGATGTAAGCACTAATTTCTGGAGAGGGCCAAAAAAAAAGCAGAGGAAGCCGAGTATGTAAAAGCAAGGGGACCCGACGGACAACAACCCATAACCGCCGAAAAAAGGAAGGAGATTTTAAGAAGGAGGTCTCAGCGCATGGCATTACCATTGTATTCCGCACTTAAACTTCCTTAGCAAATGTTTCTCATAGAAAGAATTTTGTGAGGATTGGATAAATAAAAGGATTCTTATAAAATATTTATATATGTTCCAGGGCTCAGGGCGGGGAGGCCCCCCCCCCCGATTTAACTTTTTGAAGGGGGGGGGGCTCCCCGCCCCGGCCCCTCTTTTCGAGGGGCTGCCGGGCGGGAAGGCCTCAAAGCGCCCACTTCTGACCCCTTCCCGCTTCTTGCGTGTACCCTACAGACCTGGCAAAGGTGGCAGAGGCTGGGCCCTCTTGTCGTGTTGCGCCTCCCTGGTACATATATAACATTTAAGAAGTAGAATGCAAGTCAATGTCGGAGGTGGAGCCAACTTCTAAAAATCGAGCGAAGTCTGGAGTTGCTGTCTCCTGACGCATTTCTGGCCTTCGAGAACGAACGGCTGGGACAAGACAGATTAAAGGTGGCCAGTCTAGGTGAAGCTGTGGTGAAAAATCAAAAGTGGCGAGTAACAAAACAGGCCGTTGCAACATACGAAGAGCTGCTCCTCTTATGAATGAAACTTATTTTTGAGTGTATCTATGAATTCTCACTATGTTCCTCCGTCACATCACTTTTTGATGTACCGAAAGAAACAAAGTCTACATCTACAGGCCAGGCATAGTACGCGTACTACCAGTGAATCAATCCAGCAGCCTTTTGCTACTCTCCCCCGTGCGTACACAAGCAAAGTACAAGAAACTACGACTCTTAATCTAGCACACTACACTACAACACCATACTGGGTACGCTACACTCCACTCCAAGGGTAGGCTACACTACACTACACTGGTACGCTACACTCCACTCCACTCCACTCGACTCCAAGGCTACGCTACACTATTCCTTTCTCTAATGTGTGGCGTCATCCGCTTTGGTGCTGCAGATCCGTCAAAATTGAAGTACTCCCGGAATCATCGACGCTTTGCATATTTGGTTGCTACCGTAAATGTTGGTGGCCCGAATCAGAACGCTGGGACTCAAGCACTACGAAACGAAGTCCAGTACTGATAAGGAGTTTCTAATATTAAAGCTTAACTGCTAACAAAGCCACCCTACGTACACCCGTTCTTCACAGAACTGGGTTCATATCATCATTTAGCTGCTTTCTGATATTGCAACACAGTTCCTAGACTAGATGATAAGCTTTTACTTTCTAAGATATACTAGTAGGACGTTCTATCTGATGTGTCTGTTCATCTATGCCTACATCTTCAATCATAATTACTGTCGTGTAGATCTGCCATACATCTTTTGATTTCCAACAACAGGTTTTGGGACATGAAGACAGGGGAGTGGGAGGCTAACAAGGAATATTTGAGTACTGCCTTACCACTCTACGATTTACCGAGACCCGAAGCTGCCATGGCTGTCCTGAATACCTACCTGCATGAGAGCAACAAGTACCTGGTGAAGGATGCGACTTTGCAGTGGATGGTGCGTGAAAGACATTATCATTATGAAGATCACAGAGACAGATGCTTGTGCTGATCTATCAAGCAGTATCTAGTATAATTATGATCACAAAGACAGATGCTTGTGCTGATCTATCAAGCAGTATCTGTACTGATATAATACAACAGAAGATTTTATTACGTGGTCCAGCGCGAACAGTCCTCTGATCTGTTAAAAAATCGTGATTCTATAGGGCAAGAACTACGCCATTTTTTGCAGCACTTTGTTGTAAGTAAAAATTTCACCACCACGCGCACGCACAACTGCATTCTAGACCTACTAGCGCATGGGCCGCAAAATCTTCTCCTAGTATTGTCTGCTTCTAAATAACCGGTCAATTTTTCCCTCAAGAAAAAAATAACCAGTTAATTTTTCCCTCATAAATATCCTAGGTTTATCCTACCAAGCAACCTATTGCGCTCCTCTAAAAACAAGAAGATGAAGTTGCCGTAGCTCTGCAACGCCGTGAGAGATTGACCAATGTGGTAACGAATCGTCTGGAAGCCATTCAAGCTCCTTTTCTTAAGGCTGGAAGTTTCCAAGAGGTAATCGTATTTCTTCCACTAGTTATTAATCTTTACATGTACAAGCAGGGGTTAGTTGTAGTCTACTATCTAACTTGTATTCTACCTCTAATTTTGTCTACTGGGTGATGACCGCTTATGACGCAATCAAGATGGGACTTTCAACGCCAGTGGTTCAGCAGTTTCTCGGCCAACCCGAAAAGGAATTCGAAAGAATGGAGCAGAAGATTGGCGCAAGCCTGGAAGAATTGTTGAAACATCGAAAATGGCTCTGTCCGTTGTCGCTGTCGATCATCAGAGAGCCAGTCGTACTGGACGATGACTGGGATTTCTTTGTTTACGACATTTGATTTTGTAATTCACCTCTGTGAGATAGATCAGAAGTAGATGTAGAAAGTCTTGATCATGTACAATAATGTATAAGTGATTTACATTTAGTGCCTCCACCAACTATTTGTTCGTGTCCTACTTTTATTTTCTTTCACATCATTCGTATTATGCTTGTGTACTTCTCTCAGCAACAACAATAACTCATCTAATTTTTTGGAAGGCAAAGCAAGACGATGGCCACACGGGCTGGTGAAAATGCGTACAGTGCTGCGGCTACAGGGTTCGCCTTCTTGACCTCTGGCACGACAGAGGACGTTGCGGCTGTTGTCAAGCGTCGCCAACGACGTGCTCAGGAAAGAAAAGCCGATAAGAAAAAGGAAAGCGAGGAAGAAGACGAAGAGTTATGTGAGGAAGAATATCTACAATAAGATAGTGGTTACTCATCTCTACTTTCTTACTTTAAGGAAGTTCTTTTTATTACTTTAAGGAAGGTGGCATTTACTTTAAGAAGATGCTTCCTTATTTTGTAGTGCTTTTATTCTGACCTTTTAAGAAGTAGATATAGCGAGTTTTGGTCTTCGGTAACCAAGATACATCACACGCTAGGTAATTGTTACCTTTCAACAGCAACATCGCTAAATTTTGGAGATTCCGAGGATGAAGCAGCCGCATCTTCCGGACAAGAGTTGCAGGACGTCCCCTGGGAAGAGCAAAAGAAGTGGCAAGCGCATCTTCCCAAAGCATTGCCCAACTTCTTGAGGGACGAGAGTGGCAAATTCCACAAACCATTCATCCCTCATCGCGTTGTTTTTGAGAAAGACTACCTTGAATTAAGGCGCTTGATCATACCATTCATGGAGTCCATTCTTGATTTCCAACAGTCATTTTACTTCTCCTCTGTTTATTTCACCGTCTACTAAATCTACTGGGGATTCTCGTTCTGAAGAACAACCTGCTAATTAGTAAATTCTTCTATACCCCGCGAATGGGTACACTACTCCTACGACTACTACTACTACTAGGGAAGAAGTGAAACATTTTGCACTCAGCATCTAATCGAAAGTTTTCTGAGTCGCGGCAGCACGCAGCATCCCGTGTTTGTCCGGTCAAGACTGAAGAGCCGCAATTACAAGCCCTACGACGAACTCCGTGAGGAGATCCACCAAGTCGTTGCCATGCTCAAAGATGCGAACTCGGAAGATGACATTATGAAACTCACGTCGTTGATGGGATGACGAACTGTGTATCATTTCAGGTTTTTGTGAACTTCATCCACAATGAACTCTGGTTGGATATGGATAGTCAGAGTGTGATGTGAAAGGAAGTCAACAAGTCGGTTTAGAAGTGAAGTCTGGCATTAATAGTTCCGTCGACAGTTTCGGAATACTGATCTGGGCATCACGCCATACCAAGTTCAGTTGCTTCTTCTATTTTTAGCAGCGAGAACTAAACACGCCTTGAGTTTCACTAATGAGAACGAACCCATATTTTTCTACTTCTAAGAATGAAAAAAGGATTTTCGACGATCTGACAAAGAAAGCGGCGAAGAAGGGCACTACGGAAGGCGCGGATGCTCATGACAATGCTATTGCTGCTCAACAGCGTGCCCTCCAGTCAAAAGCAAGGTCAAGCAGCGCAGGAGCGCAAAATACAGAGGAGCAGATCCTACAGAAAAGGAAGCAGCGGCATGAGTTTCTAGCTGCCATGGTTGTAGCTTTGGGCGAAATCGCTTGGGCTCCGTGGAAACCGTCTGACAAGGAGGCGAAGCGCGTTCAAATGATTGAAAGCCTTCGAGAACAGGATGGCGGTGCTGGATCCACTGTAGATCCTAACAGGAGTCCGCAAACCCCAGCATCACCACCGGGGCAAATGATCATGATGGGAGCTATCCCTTCAACCTCTTGTTAAGAGCCAGTCCATAGATAAGTAACCATAATTCAATCGATAAATGCTTGAAAGGTGTTGCTATTGGCTCCCCTTGAAAAATACTTCCAAGTCCAACAAGTATACTGTGCCTGTATGCGAAAGATGAACTGCAAGCGTGTGCTTATTGGAGATAGTGGACTAGGAAAAAGCTGTCCCCTACTGTACCTGAAAGATGAACTATTACTATCCGCCTGCGGAAGAACTGCACTACCACTACTAGAGCTGTCCTGTTGCTTCTAATCTTTCGCTGGTGACGCCATGGTGCCTGTACCTTCGAGCCCGTTGATGGGCAAGACTTCTTCTTTGGTGAGCGCCAAGCCATCCACCAAATTCATGGTCCAGTCACTGCCAGACCCCCTACAGGAACACCAACATGAACGAGGATTCGAGTCTGCGTTGATTATGAATGGATACTTAAGTACTGGTGTGCTGGGCCTTTGGCCGAAGACTTTGAAATTGGAAAAAAATATGCTGCTGTGTAAGAAAGTAGCGCCACTAGACAACTCCTCCATCTTTGGAAGCCCTCAGAGATCTTCGCAGTCTAATAACTGTGCCGACAAGGTTGCTGCGGTGGATATGACCTCTGCGAACAAGCTGTCCAGCATCGCTTGGGCTCATGGTGGGGAGTCCTGTGCAGCCTGGTGTGCCGAGAATATTAAGGCTTCTTGATGCAGTCCTAATCTGAAGATCCTTCTTGAGAGTTGTACATGAAGATCCTAGGTGGTGGAGAGACGCTTGTCAAGGGGAGAAAGGACCCAGGATGACCTTCAGGATGGACTAGGGTGAGCTCTAAGAGTACTTGTCTACTATGCTCCACGCCGAATGACGGACATGCTCAGGACTACAATGCAGCAAGGACCATTTTTGATTAAGGCTCTCGCAGACTTGTAACTAAAGTATCAATTTGAGCTCTGTAAGTGCATCCTTGTAGAGTATTCCATACCTTCAATGTGATTTGTGTACTACTACGGCTCTTAGATGATCAAGTTGAATCATGACAGGAATACACACACACGACGACAAAGATGCACATGCAGGAGCGAAAAAATATGTATATGAAAGGTCGTACCACAAATATCAAATGTCGTATCTCCGCAGCTCCTCTAATTTAGAAACGACTATGCAGCTCGCTATCCCGAAAAACAGGGTGTTGGACCGTCGCCTTTAGAATTTCTGAGTGCCCTCCCTTGGCAGCCAACTTTGAAAAAGGTCCAGGAGCGCTGGTGGGAGGCCTCTAGCACAGCACGTATGGACGCCCAAAGATGGTTTCTACACGTCATGAGGGACGTCCAAAAAGCTTTGCAGAATAGTGGCAATGCAGCTTTATGGTTCTTGGCTCTTGAAAATTTTTACCTATCAATCTATCTCTCGTTTCAGCATCTTTTGGAAGATGCCGTAGCTTCCACCCTAGCTTCCAGTTCTCAGTTCTCAGCATCTTTGCGATATACCTTTTGTTTCTCCATGTGAAGTCCACGGGGCATGATAAAGGCACTTACCAAGGTGAGGGGATCTAGAAGATGAGTTAGAAGCTGCATACTCTAAAATTGGCGCAAGATCAGGTGAAGGATATCCTGAAGGAATTCAATCAAATGCCTGGCAATTTCTACGGGAACGAATTTGCCAACGAATGGGTGACGCCAAGGAGCAGTACTAAATTTAGTAGTACTTCTAAAACATCGTACCTCCTTCGCTCACTATCCATTAGATTCAATGCTGACCATGGGGTAAGTTAGAAGTTTGACACTAATAATCAGCTGCTCCTCGTCAACATTTAATAGTACAACCTTCATTGAAGATTGTACAATTGGTTCATCTCTCTCTACAACTACTAGGACCTGTCCATCATGATGATGACTGCGGCTGGTGCTGCGACTGCACGGGACAGGAGTGCGTCAAAAACTGTTTTTGCTTTAAGGCTTCCCCTAATGATCTCCTATTTTGAGAGAAGTCATTCTAGGAGAGAGGCTTTTCAAGGGGAAAAGACACCCTTGAGGATGCACCGAAAACGTAAAATAAGCGAGTAACAAATACAATAACCGAGTATCTGTGAAGTTTAAGGTATCTTCTAGGCTACTCGGTTATTTCAGTTTTGAATGGAAAACTTGATTGAGCTCTAATCGCTGTTGCGGTGGCTGTTGCTTGTACCAAAATTGCTGTGACCGATCTGCTTACGATGCCCGAACCATAGGTCCTCTCTGTTGCGGTAACAGCGTCAACCCGGACTCTTGCGGGATGGCAGTACCACTCGCCGCCTGCTGCGGGATGGAAGCGTGTTGCTGCCCTGCTCCCGAAAAGACGGAGAGCACTGCTTCTGCACAGCCTACGAGTGTCCCTCACGTTAAGGCTCAATGCGATTCATTTCTACGCGTCATTTTTCCTTATATTCCTGTCTTAGGATTTTTGGGAGAAATGCAGGAGGCAAGAAGTGACTTGTTTTGAGCTCTAATCATGAGTACAACGCTGGAATCGATTGTCTCCATAGCTGTGGCTGTTATTCTCTCGGCAAGAGTCCCACCTTGATTCTCTGGCTTCTGGAGTCTGCAGTAGATGCGGCACAAGCGATGCCTCCGGAGAAAGATCTAGATCGACTCAGTGGGGATCCGGATCTCGCAGCCCGTTTTGTGCGCGAATTGACCGAGGCACAAAAAAAGCGACGCGTAGAACAAGCGAACAAAGATCAACAAGTTTCAAGCGAACGAAGCAAAGTTTTGGGCGCAATGTTTGTTAAGGCTCAATCTTCATACGATGAATCTTAATAGCGACATAAGATCAATCTTCATACTTATATAAAACCAATCATCGTCATAATGACATTGTTCACTGAGGGTTGCAAAGTAACTGACATCTTCGAAAAGGAGACAGACCCCGTGAGAGGACCACCGGGGAAAACAAGGGGAAACAAACCGGGAGGGGAAAACAGGGGGAATCATGGGGCTTTTTACTTTCAGCGGTTATACGATTACTGGAGTAATCTCTGTCCTCCTTACACATGAGTACTTTCACAATCTTCAGTGACCAATGACTTCCGTCCTTTAAGTTTGGGGAGCGCAATCGCTATTCCGGAGTCGCGCGCGGAGGTTGCTGCAGTGGAGAGATAGACGACAGTGCTGAGGTTGATCTCAAGGTACAGTCTGTTAAGGCGGTCTTCTTGCTTCACAGTTGTAATTGATCTCAAAGTACAGCCTGTTAGGGCGGTCTTCCTGCTTCACAGTTGTAATTGATCTCAAAGTACAGTCTCTTAAGGCGGTCTTCAAGCAAAAGACTTCTCTCATCTTTGCAATCTCACTATTTATATTTCTCGATATGCTAAGGTCTACATGCTTACATAGTTGTAGTAAGTTAATCACAACTTGAGTAGAAGGTGAAGCTACTCTCTTAGTTGCTGAAAGGCCTCACAATACAAAGTATTAGATCTACTGTGAACAAGCAGCTTCAGAGTTGTATAAAGATATCTATGAGGGACTAGATGCACACTATAAGAATAGACTCTCCTGAGCAGGATCTGAAAAAATCATGGATTTGGATAGTAACTAGAATGAATGTAGTGATGTGGAATGTGATTGATGATATTATTGTTCATCTAAGTCCGCAGTTGAAGCAGCGCCGCTCTCTGAATGGTCCGCTCTAGGAGCAAAGAACATTGACAACATCCACACTGAAGAGTGCGCAAGTTGCGGCAGTTGTATCAAACGCAGTGTTATGGCCTGTCAGCTTTTAATATCCATGTGTGTCCATCTTGCTCTTCTTTTTAGAAGGTACAAAAAGGCTGAACGACCTCAAAACTACTTGACCACGTAGTATCCGAGGCAACACGACATGACATGACACGACATGACATGACACGACATGACATGACATGACATGACACGACATGACATGACACGACATGACATGACATGACATGACATGACATGACACGACATGACATGACATGACACGACACGACATGACATGACACGACATGACATGACAGCATCTTTTTCGGGCGGTCGTATCCGTCAACATTTAGTGTCCATCTTTCTCAGCATCTTTGGATTCAGGCGCACTCTAACAGTGGTGGACAAGCATGTCGCTGTTGCGGAGTCTGGTGTGCTCTTGGCGCATGCGGCAAGCTGAGCGAGGGTTGCGAGCAGCTTGTAGTTTTGCCTTGTTGCGAATGTAGTTAAGGCTGTTGTAGCTAAATGTTATCCTTCCTTGCCTGCGTCCTTGAGCATCGCAAGGGAGGGAAGTTCTAACGTAGTGGTGTCTGCTGGAGTTATATGGTAGTGGTGTCTTCTGGAGACACCTATAGAGTCCATATTTCGCCATCCCAGGGAAGGGGGTGCCGCTTAGCGGGTCCACTGCAAAACCATCGCAAGGGAATGCTCCCTCATACTTTTTAAGGATGCACTTGAAAGGTGAACTCCGGACAGTTCTAACGTAGTGGTGTCTGCTGGAGTCGTATGCCCACGTGCGGAAGTGGCTTCTTCGCTGCCCCGAGTGTTAAGGCTGTTGATGGAGTAGTTATCATAATTGTTGAACAGTGCTGTCAGTGAGAAGTGTTGTAAGTACTAGGATTCATTCATTCTTGCATCGATGAGATCGATGCAGGTATATAATGTACTACTTGTACATCATGCGCTAGTACTCTAATCCAAGGAGAGGCTTTGTGCGCGCTGGATCTTTGGGGCTCGAAAATTTGGGAGATATGTGTTGCAGTGACGTTCCGAGCAGCTGCTGCAACTTCGCTTCTTATGCTTGTTGCACTTGTTGTGCTGGAGTCAACTACGGAATACGAAGCGCAAGCAGTCGTGTGCAGCACCAAGGATGGCCCTTTTTCACGTCAAATTATGGTCACAGCGTTTTTATATTGATCTTTCTCAGGAGGACCCCGTCGGTAACCTTTTGCTCCCATACAAGGGTAAGCAAGGGTAATAGAGGCACGATGCCTGCTGAGATACCGAGGGGATCGAGAAGAATCAACGCGCACGCTAATGAAGTATGGAGAAATGTCTCGTGAGCACACAAACAACCTGTAAGGGAGCCACTTGTGGAGGCGACACAGCCGACATGGGCCTGGCGATAACCACCGGGGAGACTAGTTGTTGTGGCTGTTGCGGTTGTTACCCGCTAGAGCCTGAGGAAGTACCCGGATGGTGCTGCAACGCGGGAAGCCTTTGTGGCGCGAAACACTGTAACTGTTAAGGCAAAAGAGAAACTCATGATCGTGATAATTGTGATTCATCCCTTGTTCACAGAAAATATTATGAGTCTGAGAAAATCATTTAGGCGGGGAGGCAGTAGCAGATATTCCATCATTGAGCAAGCATCTTCTAAACCTTGGACGGCAATGCTGACCGCAACAGGGAGGAAAGGCACGCGAGATCTGCACGAACCACTTCTCCAGGAGCAATGAGCAATGGCCCTCGTCCTTTGATGATGAACCAGCAGAGTGGTGGCCCCGTCTATAGCCCGATACCAAGCACTCCCAATCAGATGACAATGGACGGACGCCCTACTGCCGCTCATGGTAATGGTGATGTGCCTCTAAATCGGGAGAATGAGGATCCATTGTTATGTCAATCAGCCTTTATAATTCGTTCCTCGCAACCTGAGATGACATGACATCATACTCATCTAGATCTACTCTGTCTTCGGTTGTAATCATGTCCTTTATCAGAAGATAAGTAACAACCGTCCATATTAGATTTAGACTAGTCCTAGTCTAACAATTTTTTGGAAGAGTTCACCAACCGGAATAAAGGTAATGACCTACTTATCGAAATGAGATGAACCACGACAGAAGTCAACTCATCCTCATGAATTCTACTCCTAGGACATCAAACACTCTTTCACAGACTCATCTTCACAGACTCTTTCATGAATTCGACACTGTCACGGACTCTTCTCTAATATTTGGAATAGCAGAAGCCGGTTGTTGTATGAATATGATGCTAGGATGCGGAAAAAAGACCTGTCCTGGTGGCATTATCGGCTCTTTATGGATGATGTTTTTTCCGTCCTCGCGACCATCTTCTAGGGGGCTGCCCCTTTTTCCCTTGGAACTGTATACTTAGACTAAAAATGCTGAGGGGCCAGGGCCTCGAGTCGATGGTCTGCCTAGATGGAAAAAAAAAACATCCATACTCTTGTTTGGCGCCTCCCATGTATTTAGCCGGTGGCGCAGTGGCTGACGTCGCCATGACACTCACGGGCGCAGCAAACTTTGGCGTAGTTGATATACTTGGTGCTAATATTCTGTGGCGGTTCTTGCGCGTGGTGCATGGTGTACTAATGTTAAGGCTTGTTCAGATGTGGAAATATTAAGATCATCGATCTACAACGAGATTCTAGCTCTACTCTCACTCTAAACATTTTGGAATCCTCCCTCTTTCCCAGGGAAGAACATCTTGATCTTTGTTCTCCCGTTATTTCTCATCACTGGAAAACTACGAACTACACCAAGAACAAAGACCACCTTCAACATGATGCATTTATTGTACTAGGGCAGCAATAGAGATAGACCCTGTCAGCAGTCTTCTTTACAGTTCCATTCTAAATTTACACTCTGAAGAGTCCTAGGTATACCTCATCATTATATATTGTACTAGAATGACGCACCTTCTAGTAGAATCTATCCACCTGTTTCATCTTTCTCTTCATTGGTGCTTCTTCTAACACTGTCCGGTGGTCGTACCCTCCACGCGCTGCTCCTCGGCGCTCGCGGGCTTGTCCGTCTCGTTTACATGGTTGTACGCAGCATTATTCTCGTCTTTGCTCTGGCCGCGAGAGGATTTGTGGACTGGGTTATTTTTTATGATGCCACTCTCACTCATTGAAAAGTTCTACGGACTACCTTACGGGAACAGTGTCGTTCCCATGTAAGAAGGCAGGCTATAACTTTTGTGCAATATAATTGTCTCTTAGGTGGTCTTGTAGGATGAACTGCGACTGGGACACACACATGACATAAGTAGGCAAAGTGGGAGCGACATCTTTCTCACGTTTATCGACACTTTTCTCAATGGGTAGTTGTGGAAGGATTCATACTTGGCCCATCGTGCAATTTGTGGCTGGTGGACTTGCATTATTGAACGAGCACTGTGCGACTCCACTAGCCAACGAGATAGGTGAACGTTGTAATCAATGCAGCACTGCATTGGGCGGCTGTTGCAGTAGTTGCGCCACTTAAGGCTAGTTTTTCACTAATATCCAATGTCGTGGACTAATGTCGTGCTAAGTTGTACAGTGCCCTCTGATTTAGAGAGGAAACCAGAGGAGCGCAAAATGGCAACTCACTGAACCACCGATAGTACTAGTGAAAAACTAGCGCTAAGCCAGGGGATGTAGTAGAAGCTGTAGTGAGGGATGTGGAATGCTTGGCAGCGCCGCGAGCAGTTGCGCAGGCGGAGTAGGTAGATGCTGCAGCCCGGTCTGTCAAGGATTGCGTTCGGCTTTTGGGGCTATCGGCGGGCTCGTAAGATCGTTTTTCTCCGGTCTTCAGCCCTGCGTTCGCAGCATCCAAGAAGGAGCGTCAGGCTGTCTTCACTGTGCTAAGACGCACAGAAGAGTCACCATGGGCCTCTTTTGGGGTGCTGTGGTCACCGGTGGCGGGGCGGGCGCATATCACTTCTTCGGATCCTCGTCTTCCGGAAACGCAACACACGCACAACAAGGGCATCATCAAATTGAAGATTCCACTCATATTGGAACTGCGTATGCACTTGGCGAGCAGAATTCTTTGCGAGGTGCCACTAGTACAACCACGTCTTCCCTACTATTAAGGCTACCTCCTCTGCTGAAGCATCCTTAACCCCATCCTTGGCTCTTTTTCTACTTGAAAAATACGCCAAGGATGCTCCCAAGGATGGCATCAATGCGGTAGCTCTAATATAAAGCTCTTTTAGTGCTGCTGTACCACTTCCACCGAGTCCAGCGTCTCTTGGTGCTACATCACCTTCTATGCCTCCAGCAATGGCAGCAACTCGTCGACTGGATGAAGTAGCTGCAATGGAGCAGACTCCCACTGCAACTTACTCGTCTTTTCCGGAATACCTTGAGCAGCAACAACAAGAACGTCAAGCAGAGCAAGACCAAGGTCAGTATCAAGAAGAACAAGAGCAAAAAGCAAAGCATAAGGCTAAGCCGCAGCAGGAGAAAATGAAGAGCACGAAGAAAACATGGATAACCCCGAAGGAAGCTGCGGAGGCAACGAAAAAATTGGACGATGCCTACGCAAAAGTCAAAGGGAAAACTTATGACCTACTTCGAATTCTTTTTTGTTGGTGTTGTATTGTTGTTCTTATGATGTTATTGTTTGTTATGAACGCACACGATGAAGAGGACCTCCACGACCCTTGCTCTCCTTCTCTCCCACCTTTCTCTCTGGCTTCTTGTCTTCGAAGAGTAGGGGCAGTTTTGGTTTTGATTTGTCCTTCTCTCTCCTTTGATTAGTACGTTACTGTATGCTCATCGGGTTATCCCTTTGGGTCTGGTCTCAAAGCTGATTTGGCAGGTCAGATTGGAGACATATGACATGACATGTTTTTCTCTTCACTACCATCCCTTTCTTGCCTTCTCGTTCTCTCATCCATCCCTTTTTTTCCCATGTCTAAGCTCCGATCATTGCTTTCGAAGCGGAAATCGCGCAAATGGGTGGGTTGGACAAGGCTCTGGCCACATTTGAAGACGTGTACAACATGGCGCAGGACCCAGGACCATTGAAAGACCACTCAAAGAAGATGAACCAATTAAGGCTCAAAATGCTTCATTTTCCTTCGAGGGGCATTTTTCTACTTATGTGTCCTTCTTAAATGAATTCTTGAGATGAAATTATGAGCTAAAGAAACGAAATGTTTTCAGCTCTAAACGAAGGTCAAGACAAAGACCCAGAACTAGAGCGCTACGTAGAAGCAGGACTCAAGCTGGAAGAAGGTCTTCGACGTCGTTTTTTGGGAGACAAAGATTTATGAAAATGACACCTAGACGTTTCCCCCTTTTCCCTTAACTGATGCTGTAATTACCCCGCGAATGGGTAAACTACTACTACTCTGCTTAGGTCTTATGCGCCCCCAGTATGTAATTTGGATGACAGTAGTTTAACGGGTTGATTAATCGTTTGAAAGGGCGGTGGCATATAGTCCTAACGCAAAAAAAAAATAACTTAGGAGGTGGTTCTGTTAAACCGCGACAGGGACACATACATGACATCTTCTTCATCAGTTTCACTTTGTGAATTACCACTCGTCACTAAATCATCCGTGGTTTCCGAAATAAGGAGACGCCTAACATTTGCATTTCTGACTTTCTGTATAAATGAAATATACATAAAGTCCCTTAGTAAATAGACCCATGAAAATCTTCTAAGAAATCTTGCAGCTGAGGGCGCTTTCAGCAGTCTCTTCGGAAGCTCATCTGGTAGCAGGCCTTCATCTACTAGGAATAACGGCCCCGAAGCCCTCTCGCGCGCTATTTACAAGGTGCACAAAAAGATGATCGATTACAGCGCAACACATGGGCCCGATGACGACGTCCAGGATTACATGCAGCCAGCGGATCAGGAGATGATGTCTATGGACGTCGAGAAGGACAACGACGATGAGAAGTCATGGTCATCAATCGCAGAGGACGTGGCGTCCGCTTCCACTAGCGCCAAGAACTTTGGAGGAGGCCTTTTGAAACGTCCAAAAAAGGACTAAATACTCATACTTGACTCTGCAGATAAGGAAAACCCAAAACGTCGATGTGAAGTGGATAAACATATTTATGAGAAAGAGGTACATATAAAAAATCTTCATTTTAATAGTCACAGTCTGTGCTGCCGATGTAGTTGAAACTAAACAATTTGTGTTTAAAGTTGAATTCTGCTAATTGCCAGAAAACAACACTAAATGGAGGACTTCAGATCATACGGCTGGTGTCTTCAACATAGAAAATTTTCATGGTCTTAATCAACATAGTAATGCTTTTCATGATCATAAACATATACATAATATCGTGGTTCGAAGGAAGTTACCAGCATTCGCTGTCGCTGCTAGATGGCTCTTGAAGGAAAGCAGTGACAATGATCTGGTACACATCCTATCACCACATTCTTATTCACGGGAAGTTCTAGCGGCATACCTACAATAAACGGGAAGTACTAGCGGCATACCCATTTGGATTTAATGAGGCTCAGGGACATAAAACGCCGACCATCGGAGTTTGAATTTTTCTCCCTGCTGAGTCATTTTAGTGACGAACACTGTTTAAGCTCCTAATATTACATGAATTGCATGTTGAGCTTGAGTGCACAATTTTCATCCCATGTAAGAGCCTGTCTCTTTCCGACCTTCTGCGTACAAACAAGCCATTCTGACAGAGAAGCGGCCGTCGGTGCCCTTCTGTCTGGCGTTCTGTCTATTTTCTGCTAAAATGTCAAAATGGTTGGTAATATAGTAGGCATAGTTTTGTGATCCAGTGTGAAACCTGATCCAAATCCCCACTGAAATCCGAAATCTTCTGATCCAGTTCCGCAGCGTCAGCGTCCTACTTAGCTAACTACGTAAGTAAGCACAAGAAGGAAGAACGACCAAGACAGAACAAGAACAACACAACAAGCACGACCCAAGACGTAACAAGGACTGC